GAGATGAGAAAATCTTTTACGCGGAAAGCTGTTAAGGTCTGGACTGCACTGCCTGAAAGGGTGGATTAAAGAGCGTTGCAACAATCAACGCTTTTGATCGTCTGTTGCAACGTGCATTTATAAGAGTCTGTTGCCAAAGTGCGCTCCTTCCGAATGGCTGAGTTGAAGACCGCAGCGTAGAATGCACAAGGCTTCTGGCTGCGTTTGAGGCGACTAATTCTGAGCTCTGAGATGCTACCCCATGTGAAGGGCGCTTTATAAGTGCAAGTTGTTGTTCCTGCACCACACCACCCCCCCCCCCCCCCCCGCAAAGTCAGGTTGTAAACAAATCAGTAGCATATGCACATACATACATACATACACACACACACAGACAAAAAAAAAATTGGTGCCTCGATCTGTGATGGGCAATTGGCTGCCGCTTATCGCCCGCAAAATATATACAATAATATACAATATACAATAAAAACAATAATAAATTGGTCATTTTCAATCTACGACTGTTTGTGGGACATTGCTGTGCGCAATTGGCCGCCGCGTTCGCCCACAAATGTACAGTCAATTCACTTTACAGTGTGTTCTGTGAAGCGCTTTGGGACGTCCTCCCAACGTGAAAAGCGCTATATCAAATGCGAGGATTATTATTATTATTATTATCATTAATATTGCACGATTCTGCACGAATGCAGTACAGGCACTGGAGAGGTGCCACGTTTGGCGCCTGTGAGTTCAAAGGGAGGGAGTGGGAGGGCGGGAACTCTTCCCAACCACTGGAGACTGAGCCACTGACCACACAACGCCCGCCTGCACCGATTGGTCAGCGCGTGCCCAACCCCACCCACCCACCACCCTCGGCCGGCTTTCCCATTGGCCGGTGGAGCCGTCAGTCACCGGAGGGTGGGCGGGCACAACCCCCTCCTCCGGCTTGCCATTGGTCCGCTCAAGCTGTCAGTCGCCCGAGGCCGCCCTTGTCAATCACCGGCAGCGCGCGGCTGACGGTTACCAGGCGACCGTTACCTCAGGTACCAGCGCCCGCGCCGAAACGGCCGTTAAACGTTAAATTGGTACTTTATATTTATTCTCTCTCTCTCTCTCTCTCCCTCCCTCCCTCCCCACCCCCACCACCGGCGTCGGTAATAACAAAAACACAACCTACCGTCAGGCCACGCTACCCGCCGTCTCTCGCCCCCTCCCCCACCCCGGCAGCATCTCGGCGCGATGGGCTCCCTCAGGCCGCTTGACAGCTCGCTTTGACGTGCTCACGTATTTCTGAACGTGCGCGATGACGTAGGAACCCCTCCGCGCTCTCCCCCCCCTCTCCCCCCCCCGTGAAGTCGCTCAGGAGAGCATCCACCTGTATCACGTGATAGGGACCCCCCTCCACATGCTCTTTGATCAAAACAATAGCACCAAATAATTATTATTATTATTATCACCATCATTTTTTTTTTTTGAACGGGTTATTACCGCCTGAAAAAAAGCGATCGGCCATCGGCTAATAACCGGGTTCCTACTTACCGCTCGGTAAACAGGGGCTCGTTACGTGGAACCCACGTGGTTGTCGTGGGGGGGGGTGGGGTGCGCGGGGGGTGGGGTGCGGGGGAATGCACACTGTCCAAATAACATTTGGAACAACCCCCCCCCCCCCTTCGAAGCCGCTGACTTAAATTATGAACTGACATTTCGCACCACAAAATACATCCTGTCGCACGCACCACACGGCCGTCGTGGATCTCACCCGGTTATTGTCAGCAAATAGGAACCTGGGTGTTAGTCGATTGGCGGATCGTTTTCCGGTGGTGGGTGGGGGGGGGGGGTGGTGGGGGCGTAATAAGCCCTTCGGAAAAAATAATAATCTGTTAAAAATAAACTCAATCCGTGACTGTTTGAAGATCCTCATTCAAGATCCTCACCCTCACCTACAAGGCCATTCACGGCCTCGCCCTCTCCTACCTCTCCGACCTACCCCCACGTACCCCACCGTACCCTCCGTTCCTCTGGCCCCGGTCGGCTCCACATCCCCCGCCCCAACCGCCCTACCATCGGTGACTTCAGCCCCGAGGCTCTGGAACTCCATCCCCCAGTGCCTTCGCCGCTTCCTCCCTTTCCTCCTTCAAGGCCGGTCTCAAGACCTTTCTCTTTGACTGTGCCTTCAGCTCCCCTCTCGACTCTCTACCCCCTCCTCGCTCCCTCCCTTCCCTCCCCTCACCCTGACCATTTCCCCCCAATGCTCGGGTCCTGACCCAACTGCACAGCGCCTCGGGACGTCCTCCCGACATGAAAGGTGCTCTATAAATGGAATCTTGTTGTTGTTGTTGTTTGTGGAACACCGCTGCGCTTCATTAGCTGCCTCATTTCACCCACAAAATATACAGTCACTACACTTTACGGTATATGCTGTGAAGCGCTTTGAGACGTCTCAAAGATGTGATAAGACGCTGTGTCACATGCAAAGATTATTATTATTTACAGTGAATCCAGTGAAGCCCCTTGAGACGTCTCGACGACAAATTATGTCAAATTAAGGATTACAATAACACATCACTGTCAAAAGTGAGGTGGATGATGATAATCCTTTGCAATTCACACATCAACAGCAACAACAAGATTTCATTTATAGAGCGCCTTTCACGTCGGGAGGACGTCCCTAGGCACTGGACAGTTGGGTCTACAAATGCACAGTTACTGCTCTTTACAGTAAAAAAAATCCAATGGACATTATAAATCTCGTAATACTATTGGAAAAGAGAAGGCCACTATCCTGGCTAATGATTACCGCAGATAAAATTGGTCATTTATTTCATGGCTGATCATTTCCCTACAAAAACACAAACACACTACACTTGACCACAATTACCTGTTGAGTGTTTTGAGACATTTCAACATTACAGGCGCCATATCAACTGCAAAAATTATTTTGCACTTTATTAATGCTGCTCTTGTTTATTCGTTGTCTGAAGCTGTAATATGCCATCCAAACAGGACCCTCTTCCTCACTATACGTTCACCATGTTGAAATCACTTCCTTCTAAAATATTCCTTTCCAATACTGCAAGTCTGTGGAAATCCTTACCTCTCTCAGGCATCTTTTTATCCTGCAATCTTTAGCTTTTTAAACCCCAACCTTGACGTTGCTTAACAACAACAACTTACATTCATATAGCATCCTTCAAGCAGGGCAGCGTCTTGGAGCACTTCACTCCATTATATTATAATATTAGCCACAACTTCCGGATTACCACACCTCTCTCATTCTCTTGTCAACCTTGGACTCTGGGAGTTGGACCAGTTTTCTCAATTCCAAGGAAATGAATTCAATCAATTATTAATAATCTTGGGTGTAGTATCAGCCTAGCTCAGGTGAAGCTCTACGTCAGGATCTGAGCTCACATAAGAACACAGGTCATAGGTCTCACAGTCTTAAGACAACAATCCAGTGCAGAGAGAAGAAAGGGCGTAAAGAGAGTAAAATCTCAAATTAAATTGGCAGGGAAGCATAAACCAAATTCAGTCTCAAAACTCATTTCCTTACCTTCCCCCCTCAACTCTGCAGCGATAAACACATCTCAATATATCAGCGTTGCTAGGATTCAGAAATGAATTTTAATGAGCTTCCTGAATTATGCCGAACTAATTCTGACCTCCTTCGCAGCCTGTGTTATATTGTCGAGTAAATGCTCGATTTTATATTCCAGGAGTTATTTTAATGAGCGAATGTTGGAACACTGTGGTAATTCATTATGGAAAATTCAGAGCAAGGGTGATGGGTAAACATACCACGTGATGAGCCGAGCCATATGGAACAGGAACGATTCTGATTTAATCCCCAATTTATGATGAATTAGCTGATCGCACCTGAGGCCACTGTCAGGATTCTGTGATTGACCTCGGTGCCTCCAGGTTGGTTGGGTGGGAGATAATAATGTAATAATCCTTGCATTTGATACAGCGTCTTATCACGTCGTTGAGACGTCTCAAATCGCTTCACAGAATATGCTGTAAAGTGTGGTGATTGTGTTTTGTCAGTGGAACGATTAATCTGATCTCCCCGCTGGAAGACAGACACAATGTGTGGATGTCACATTCTTTCAGCTCATCATTGATGCCCCCACTATCAAACATCCTGTGACACTCATTGAAGAACAAGTGAGATGATTAAAGTACCGGTGGCAGCCAGTTCGTATAAAGCAATTGGTCGCCGCGTTTCACCCACAAAACATAGTCACTTCACTTTCCAGTAGATTCTGTGAAACGCTTTGAGACGTCCCAAATAACGTGATAAGATGCTATATCAAATGCAAGGAGTATTATCTTTTATTATTATAAAGCTGTACCTGAAATCAGTGCTTTCAGAGAGACGAGAGGAGAAAGAACGCACAAGCTGAAGTCTCTAAATGCTTGATCATCAATTGCCCACAAATATATAGTCACTACAGTTTACAGTATATTCTGCGAAGCGCTTTGAAACATCTAGAAGACGCGGAAGGCGCGATATCAAATACCTGGATTGTTATAGAAGAAGTACATATTATTAATAATAGCCACAAAACCAGACATGCACATGACATTACCTGAAATGTGTGTTCAGTGGAGTTGTAAAAATCTTACTTCCAGCAATGTGACAGCTCAAAACCGCAATCCATTCATTCCTTCTCAGGCAAAAAAGGCGTTTTACCTCTAATCAGTCAGTGCTGAAACACTTGTCATTATTGCAGTGCATATGTCAACCACACAGATGGTCTGCCTCGTAAAAGGGGAGCATGCGCGGGCGCAAAGCCTGCTGGGTATTGTAGTTTTTTCAGGTCGGCCGGGCGACATGTGCGTCTACAGGTCCCGGCGTGCCTCGCGGGTGGAGAGGGGCGGGCGCCGCGGTGCCTGGCGGGAGTTGTAGTCGCTGCCCGGTGACCGCCAGGCAATTGGAACCTTGGACGACTCTAGTTCCCGGCATGCAGCATGCAGACGACGCCGGGGCTTCCGGTCTATTGCATCAGCGCAGCCGGACCCCCCGCGGGGAGAAGAAGCCGGCGACCCGGGCTGCGGACCCTGACAGACCTCACAACGCAACAGCCGCGCCATGAAGGTCTACCTGAACTCGGGGAACCCCGGCGGCCTGAAGGTCGTGGCGGCCGCTGAGCTGAGCGGAGTCGGGCCCGAGTTTCAGCCCGTCAGCCTGGAGGGTGAGGGCTGGTTGCTATGGTGACGGCCCCACAGGCTGTTGCAGAGAGAGGGGGATGAGGGGAGGGGGGATGAGGGGAGGGGGGATGAGGGGAGGGAGGATGAGGGGAGGGGGGATGAGGGGAGGGGGATGAGGGGAGGGGGATGAGGGGAGGGAGAAGGGGGATGAGGGGAGGGAGAGAGGGGATGAGGGAGAGGGGATGGGGAAGGGAGAGTGGATGAGGGGAGGGAGAGGGGCTGAGGAGGGAGAGGGGATGAGGGGAGGGAGAGGGGGGATGAGGGGAGGGAGAGGGGGGATGAGGGGAGGGAGAGGGGATGAGGGGAGGGAGAGGAGAGAGAGAGGGGATGAGGGAGAGGAGAGAGAGGGGATGAGGGAGAGGAGAGAGAGGGGATGAGGGGAGGGAGAGGGGCTGAGAGGGGGAATGAGGGAGAGCGGGTCTGGGGGAGCTGTAAACATTTTGAGCCGTTTTGATGCTATCAAATATGCAAAGCTGTTAGTGGTAATGGTTTGTGCATTTCATCCAACACCTGTAATGTTTGTGTTTCAAAGCACCTCTCAGCGTCAAGTGTAGTGACCGTGTGTTTGTAGGTAAACGTGACAACTATATTCACACAACGAGGTCCCAGACACAGTGAAGTGAATGATTTTTTACATTTTACTGACAGATGAATCTCGGGGGAATTGTTAGCCAGGATACCGTGAGGAAACTCCCTTCTCTTTATACAGTACATAGTGTCACGGGATCTTTAATGAATAGCCGGGATTTAACATGTCATCTGAAAGAATGACAATGACTGCGCTTGAGAGTCAGTCTGGACTATGAGCTCATAAAGTCCTCAACTTGGGGGCTTGAGCCCACAACTTTCTGACCCCGAGGCAAGAATGCAACTGTTTGAGCCAAGCTCGAAGTCAAATAATTACAGTTTACATTGTAAATCTCAAAAGTGCTTCAATACAATCTATTATCTCTCATCCTGACAGCTTCTGTGTGCATTTCTCTCCTCAGAGCGCGTTGTACCTTTCCTGTCACAGTCAAAGCTGCCGGCTCTGCAGTTACCAACAGGAAGCTTTATCTTTTCGACCAATGCAATCTGTCAGTAAGTTGAATACATTGCATAATTGTGTGACAGGCTGTATTCAATAATAATAATAATAATAATCCTTGCATTTGATATAGCGCTTTTCACGTCGGGAGGACGTCCCAAAGCGCTCCACAGAACACACTGTAAAGTGAATTGACTGTATATTTGTGGGCGAACGCGGCAGCCAATTGCGCACAGCAAATATAGTCGAAACTCACTGTAACAAACCCTGCTTATACCAAGCCCCCCGGTTTAACGATCCCAAAGGCAGGCCCTGATTTTATGCACCTTTTTGACGGCCAAACCCTGCAGCTCATTGGCTAGAGCACTCGCTTTGCAAGCGAGAGACCTGTTTCGATTCCCGGCAGGGTGAAACCTTGGGCAAGTTTCCGTACGCCATACACCTGATAATAATCCCTCGAGGAAAAAATAATAAATTGGTAATTTCAATCCAGGACTGTTTGTGGGACGCTGCTGTGCACAATTGGCTGCCACATTTTGCCCACAAATATACAGTCAATTCACTTTATAGTATATTCTGTGAAGCGCTTTGAGACGTCGAGAAGACGTGAAAAGCGCTATATCAAATGCAAGGATTATTCTTATTACTATCCCTGATTATAACAATCTTATCAAGTCAGTTCCTTACAGTGAGGTTCGATTGAATTGACTGTATTAGCTAAACTAATTTGCGGTTTAGAGACTGAGCTAAATAGAAGCTGAAAAGTTCTTCTTTCACCTACAAAATACAGTCAATTCACTTTCCAGTATATTGTATGAAACACTTTGCGATGTCTCAAAGGCGTGATAAGGCGCTATATCAAATGCAAAGATTATTATTATTACATCATCTTTCCCAAAAGAATTCTGGAAATGAAAATAACTTGGCTCTAAATTTTTTAGTGTGAAGAAATCAAAACAGCCAGACATCCCGCAACTCACTTCCAACCACCATACGTCCCTCACACCTGTAAAACATTTAAAAAGGAATTAGACAAGTACCGTATTTGAAAAAAATATATAAAGGGTTTTACGGATAGGGCAGGAAAGTGGTTAGATTTCTCAGCGAGACAGTACAGGTATGATGCGCTTTGAGTCGTCTCGAAGAAGTGATAAGGCGCTATATCAAATTGAAGGATTATTATTATGGTCATCTTCTGTGCTGTAAAATTCCATGAAACAATGGAAGCACATTTGTTGTAAAGGCTGAATAAGGACAATGTCAGACTCAGCATTGATGTTATTCCACATTGATGTTATTGACGCTGGCAGTCACTGTCTCAGCTCAGGTGTGAACCTCTTGGTGAGGTAACAGATAGTCACTGAATCTTGTAGAGCCTTAACTCGGCGTGAATTAAGACGAGGGTGGGATCAGAGATAGATTAGTACAGGGACCACTTCCAATAGTATAGGCCTCCACATGTCACAGCCAGTGTTTTACTGTTTCCTACAGGTACCTGTTTACACTCAGCGGGAAAGAGCCAAGTGATGCTACAAATCAGTGGCTGGAATGGGAAGCAGCCCGACTACAGGTACTGTGATAGAATGGCCACTGACTGAGCACATGGGCCCTTCAAGACCCTCCTCTTCGGCCATGCCTTCAGTCACCCTCTTACTCCCCACCCTCTCTGCCCTCTACCCCTCCTGCTCCCAACCCCCAGCTCGGGTCCAAATCCCTGACAGTCCAGCCCCTTGGGTTAATGTAATTTGTTGTTGTTCACCTTCCAATCTAAAAGGCTGTGGATTATGGCTGGATCCATTCACATTTTTAAGACTGAGGAGGATAGATATTTGTTAGGTAAAGGTATCAAGGGATATGGGGGCAAGGGCTTGAGGGATAGATCAGCTATGATCTTACAGAATGACGGAACAGGCTCGAAGGGCTGAATGGCCTACTTATTCCTATTTTCATGCTTCTAATCTGATAACTGAATCCAACATGTGGGACACTGTTGTGCGCAATTGGCTGCCACGTTTTGCCCACAAAATACACAGTCACTCCACTTTACAGTGTATCCTGTGAAGCGCTTTGAGACGTCTCGAAAGACGTGATTAGGCGCTATATCAAAGTATTATTAGACTATTATATTAGTATTATTATCTACTTGTAATGGACGGCGTTTTGATTGCAGCCGGCGGTGAACGTGTGGCTGCACACGTCAGTCGTTCAGGGCAAGAAGAATGAGCAGGCAGCGAGCGCGGTGAGCAAGCTCCTGGCTCACATCAATCAAAGCCTGATCAAGACGGCAACTCCTTACCTCACCTCGGTAAGTTATCCTCACCCTCGGGGGAAATCGGCAAGAGAGGAAAAAAACATCATTTGAATATTCATGAGTTGCCTCCTCAGATGTTTAATCCTAGCTTCGCCCTGATTGTTGATAACTTGCTTATAACCTTACATTTTTATAGTCTGTAACGTCAAAGTACTTCACAGTAATTATACTCGTGGAGTCCTGTAGCTCAGTGGTTAGAGCACTCGCTTGGCAAGCGAGAGACCTGAGTTCAATTCCAGGCAGAGGGCGAAACCTTGAGCAAGTTTCCTTACTCCACACAGAGCCTAATAATAATCCCTCTAAAACCAAAAACAATAATAAATTGGTCATTTTCAATCTACGACTGTTTGTGGGACATTGCTGTGCGCAATTGGCTGCCGCGTTCGCCCACAAATGTACAGTCAATTTACTTTACAGTGTGTTCTGTGAAGCGCTTTGGGACGTCCTCCCGACGTGAAAAGCGCTATATCAAATGAAAGGATTATTATTATTATAGTCGAGTATTTATTGTTTTGTGGAGTCTTGTAGCTTAGTGGTTTCTTATCTCAAAATCGAGGGACCTTCTACATTAAATTTAACGGTGCCTTGTGTATGATGTGCATATACGTCTTACCGGCCTCTGCTCGGTTAGGCCTTGCGTAACCGCCGCCTCTGATCTTTTCGAAGGCCGCTGTAACAGTTGCTGACGTTGTCCTGTGGGGGGCGCTCTACCCCATTCTTGTGGATCCTACTCATCTTTCAGGTAAACAACAACAACTACAACGATGACAAATTACATTTTTATGGCGCCTTTCACGTCATGGGGGGACGTCCCAAGGCGCTGGTGGTTGGGATCAGGAGAGTAGGAGGTAGGGAGGGAGGGTAGAGGGGGTGACCGAAGGCACGGTTGAAGAGGAGGGTCTTGAAGGAGGCAAGGAGGGGGCAAGGCTGTGTGAGGTTGTATCTGCACTTCCTCTGTAATTGCAGGATGTGGGCGAGTGCAGGTGGGGGAGCGGTGAAATCCAATGGTCACACAAAATAATACAATACAATTTACGATTTATATAACGTCTTTCACGTTAGGAAGACATTTCAAAGGGCAACTACACTGCTAGCTGGACAACTGAGCTGAGGGTTGGGAGCTAAAAAGGACTGGAAAGGAAAGATTACTAAAAGCACGGTCAAAGAGTTGCTAATTATTAATTGTTAGTTGTTAGCCGATTGGCGGATCACTTCAAGGTGTAATAATCCCTTCAAAAAATAATAATAATTTGGTCATTCAATCCACAACTGTTTGTGGGACACTGCTGTGCGCAATTGGCTGCCGGGTTTCGCCCACAAAATGCACTTTACAGTATATTCTGTGAAGCGCTTTGAGACGTCTCAACAATGTGATAAGGCACTGTATCAAATGCAAGGATTATTATTATTGCAACAGGAAATTCTCCCAACGGGAAAAGCCGCAGAATCGAAATGAAAGGATCATTTAATTGAAGCGTTATGAACTTGGGATTTCTCCACAGAGGAGTTGCTGATGGTGTGCGAGTGGTTTGAGCGAATGAACATGTTGGATTCCTGCCGCAAAGCCTCGGAGTCGGTCCTCCAGGGAAAAGGAGTCCAGGCTTTCAAAGCTTATTTGCAGAAGCAGCCAGTCTCCACTCTGCTTTCCGAGAAACCCGCCTCCAATGGACAAGAGGTACTGTGTGTCAGCCATTTGCTCTCTGCATAATTTCCAAATAATAATAATATAGTCACTCAATCCATCACTGATTGTCGGATACTGTTGTGTGCAATTGGCAGCCGCGTTTCGCCCACAAGCTACACAATCAATTCACTTTACAGTCTATCCCATGAAGCGCTCTGAGACTCACTCCCTCAATCCAGCCGCCTTGCCCCCTCCTTCCCCTCTATTAGATCACGATTGAAGACCTTCCTCTTTGACTGTGCTTACGGTCACCTCCTCCCTCCCCCGCTGGCTCAGTGTCAGGCTCTACCACTGTTAAGCGCTCCGAGACGCTGCCTCTTGTGAAAATCACTGTAAATGTAAGTTGTTGTTGGATATTGCTTTAAGTATAGGTCATGTTGAAGGTAGCAAAGCACAATAAAGCACCAGCCAACAGGGCATTCATTGCTTTTAAGCACTCCGAGATGCCGTCCAGCGTGAACGGCGCTACATAAGCGCGAGCTGTTGATGCAGCTTGTAATTCAGTTCTGTGTATGCGTGCAGGAAGGCGAAGCTCCCGGCCAGACGTTCACCGAGGAGGAGATCCAAGCAGCAGAGGACGCCTGGAGACATGGAAGGGTGCAAATGTCCAAACCCAAGCTGGTCCAGCACCCGATGTGAGCAGCGACACCAGCTTACTGTGCCAGGCACCAAGGCGTGGGGAAAAGGCAGGGGAATGGGATTCAAAGCTCTGCTGTGATCTAACGAAGATCTAACAATATAATACAGTACAAAATTATGTTTACACAGAGCCTTTCACGTCAGGAGGACGTCCCAAGGCTCTGGAGAGTTGGGGATTTGGACCGGAGCTGGGGTTTGTAATCAGGAGGGGGTGGATGTCAGGAAGGGTAGGGGTAGGAGGGTGACCGAAGCTCAGTCGAAGAGGAGGGTCTTGATGTGCCTTGAAGGAGACAAGATAGGGAGGGAGCGAGGCGAAGGGAATGTGAGATAGAGTTCCAAAAGGTGGGGGCAGAGAGGCTGAAGGCCTGACCGCCGATGGTTGGGCGGGCCGGGCGTAGGGCGTGGAGCAGGCCACAGACTGCTGAGGAGAGGAAGCAAACAGGTTGATATTATCAAACCATTGCGTGCTTTTGAGCACCTCTATCAGGCTTCCTCTCTCTTAACCCGCTTAGTTCTTCTTGTTAGTGAAATTTTTCTCTTGAAATATTTTGGCTACAAAATACAGTGTGTCCCGTGAAGTGCTTTGAGACGCCTCAACGACATGATAAGGCGCCGTATCAAATGCAAAGATTATTACATTATTATCATCACCAAGATAAAAACTCAGCACATTGGAAAATGTTTTGTTGTTGTCCTCCTTCCAGCGGGTTACGCTGAACTCTTCGGGCAGCTCTGATTCACTGGCCTCCATTTCCTTCATTTCTCAGTTTGCCAAAGAAGAACGAGAGGAACATTCTGATCACCAGCGCCCTGCCCTACGTAAATAACGTGCCACATCTGGGCAACATCATCGGTTGTGTCCTCAGTGCAGATGTTTTTGCCAGGTAAGAAGTGTGTTATGTGCCTTGCCCCCTTCCTTCCCCAATTTCAGGTCGTGTCTGAAGACCTTCCTCTTCGATCGTGCCTACAGATCTCTGCTGAAGACCTTTCTTTTCAACCGCGCCTTTAGTCACTTTCCTCCCCCTCTGGCTTGGTCCCAGGATCCGTTACTGTAAAGCGCTCTGAGACACCGTCCGACATGGAGGGCGCTATATAAATCCAAGTTGTTGTTGTTACAGTCACCTACTCCCTCCCCCGCTTCGGAGTCGTGCTCCGCCACTGTCCGGGACGCTACCCTGTGTGAGGGGCGCTGTGTAGTTGTTGGGTGGGGATAGAGGGGGCTTAAACTTAGGAAGAAACTAAGGCATTGAGTCCCAAGTCCTGGATGAGCTTCCACAACGCAGAATGGCTTTGAGATATTTTGACTTGATAAGACACGCGATATGATGAGGCACTTTGTCTGTAAACTGTAAACTGTAGCGCAGTGCTCACCTCGCAAGTGAGAGGACCCGGGTTCGATTCCCAGACGGAGTAAAACCTTAGGCAAGTTTCCTTAGTTGTTTCCTTGGTTGTTAGTCGATCAGCGGATCCCTTTTCCGGGGATAATAAGCGCTCCAAAAAAACAAAATAAGAATAATAACAATTAGGTCACTCAATCCACGGCTGTTTGTGGGGACGCTGCTGTGCGCAATTGGCTGCCGCATTTCGCCCACAAAAAACACAGTCAATTCACTTTACAATCTATCCTGTGAAGCGCTTTGAGACATCTCAACGACGTAATGAGGCGCTAAATCAAAAGTAAGCATTATGATTATTATTAATATTAATAACCTGCTCACGTGTGTGCTTGCTCTTCTCAGGTATTGCCGTATGAGGAACTGGAACACGCTCTACATCTGCGGGACGGACGAGTACGGCACGGCCACGGAAACCAAAGCCATGGAGGAGGGGCTGACCCCGCAGCAGATCTGTGACAAGTACAATGCCATCCACAGCCAGATCTACCAGTGGTTCCACATCTCCTTTGATTACTTCGGAAGGACAACCACAGAGCATCAGACCAGGTATAGGGCGTGTTCAGCCATGACAACAACTTGCTTTTGCACCGGGCCCCTCACGCGGGGTAGCGTCCCAGTGGCGGAGCGCAGCGCCGAGCCAGGAGGAGGTGAACGTAGGCGCGGTCGAACGGGAAGGTCTTCAGCGCGACCTGTAGGTGGGGAAGAAGGGGCGAGGCGGAGGGATAGAGGGATTATTCTGTGAAGCACTTTGAGACGTCTCGAAGACGTGATAAGGCTCTGTATCAAATACAAGGATTATTATTGTTAGTAGTATTATTACTAATTCCCACGAAGCGCTTTGAGATATTTTGACATCAAGGGGCGGGCGTTGTATCGAATGCAGGGATTGTTCAGATTTAGAATGAATTGATGTTTTTTCTCTCTCTCTCGGCCAGGATCGCACAAGACATCTTCAACCGCCTGCTGCAGAGGGACTTCCTGGTGAACGACACGGTGGAGCAGTTGCGGTGTAACCGGTGCGAGCGGTTCCTGGCCGACCGCTTCGTGGAAGGGTCGTGTCCGTTCTGTAATTACGAGGAGGCGCGAGGCGACCAGTGCGACAAGTGTGGGAAACTGATCAACGCCGTGGAGCTAAAGGTGAGCCACTGGCTGCCTCATGCCTGTGACCAAGCAGCAGCAGCAGCAACAACAACAACCTGCATTTACATGACGCACTCCATGCGGGGTAGGGTCCCGGAGCGCTTGACGGTGGCAGAGTCTGACCCCAAGCCAGGGGGAGGGGGAGCGAGGGAGGTGACCGCAAGTACGATCGCAAAGGAAGGTCTTTTTTTTGAAGGTGTGGAGGGAGGGAGGGAGGGGGGGGGGGCAAGGCGGAGGAATTGAGGGAACAAGGCGGAGGGATTGAGGGAACGTGTTCCAGAGTTTCGGGGCTTAGTGGCTGAAGGCACGAGGGAGAAACAGGAGGCTGGAACCAGACGAGCGGAGGCAGCAGGTGGTGGAGTGGGGAGTAAGCAGGTCCGAAAGGTAGGGAGCTGCCAGGGCATGGAGGGATTTGAAAATGAGTGAGAGGCTCTTGATACAATTACAGTTCTTGTCTAGTTAATCCCCTCCCTCCCCACCACCACACGTCTTGTGGAGCCCTATAATGTAATGGTTATAGCGCTCACCTAGCAAGCGAGACGATTAGATTAGGCAAGTTTCCTTACACCACACGTTTTTGTTCACCTAGCAGTAAGTATAAACCCAGTTGTTAGTCAATTGTTGGATTGTTTCCCGAGGCTGATAATCCCTTCAAAAAAAAATAATAATTTGGTTGCTCAATCCACGTCTGTTTGAGGGGCACTACTGTGTCCAATGTGAGGATTATAATTGTCATAAATGCATTTATTCAACTGTTTCTGTCCATGTTTCAGAATCCACAGTGTAAGATCTGCAAGGACACACCAGTCATCAAATCTTCCAAACATCTGTTTATCGACCTGCCCAAGGTGAGCACGCCATCTTGGCTTTATTCTTGTCCAGTTTTCTCCCCTCTCCTGACAGGCTTACTGACGTCCCAAGCGCTCTGGGACGCTACCCTGCGCGAGGGGCGCTGCGTAAATGCAAGTCGTTTTTGTTTGCTAACAGCTGCAGGAACGGCTGGAGGAGTGGTTTGACAAATCGGTGGCGACGGGAGACTGGACCACAAACGCTCGGCTCATCACTCGCTCCTGGATCCGCGACGGCCTGAAGCCGCGGTGCATCACCCGAGACCTGAAGTGGGGCACTCCCGTGCCTCTGGAGGAGTTCAAGGACAAGGTGGGAGTGACCGTGGCTGTAAAAATTCTGAAGGGGTTCGTCCTGGGGGGAGAGAATCGGCTGCCGCGTTTCACCCACAAAAATTCAGTCAATTGACTTTACAGTATATTCTCGATAACCTGACAAGGCGCTATACCAAATGCAAGGATCATTATTATGGTGAGGACATAAGAATTTGTCAGACGAAAGAGCAAGGTCCATCCAGTTCACCTTCCACCATCCTGGCAGTCGCTTGACATGTCGTGTCCCAAACCACTTACTGTATCCCCAGGTATTATTTCCTAACAGAAATCAATCTAATTGGTTCCTGAAACAACTGATTCAAGAAAGTGAGATAAACCAGAGAGCTGCAATGGAGGGTTGAAAGTTTCTGCTTTATACTCCCATTTCTCACTGACCTATCTAACCCTGACCCTAACTCCGGACCCAAACTCCCAGCTCGGGTCCACAAAAACCCTGACTGTCCAGCTCCCTGGGACGTCTTTCCGACGTGAGGGCGCTATGCAAGTGCAATGTGTTGTTATTGTTGATTGAGCGATGCCTTTTATCCTCAGGTGTTCTACGTCTGGTTTGACGCCCCAATTGGCTATATATCCATCACCGCCGACTACACGGAGCATTGGGAAAAATGGTGGAAGAATCCTGAAGAGGTGAGAGACCGAGGCCGTTCCATTCGGGCTCGGAGGCACGAGGGTTGGGGTTGACAGTGGGGGACGGGGCTTTGAAATCGACATCCTCGTACGAGGCTTTAAATCGGGGTCCGCGCCTGTTCAGCTGGGCGTTGAAAGATCCGAATAGGGGAAGGGAGTTTCTCCTCGATGTCCTGGCTGACGATCCTCCAGATAACCTGGTCAATCAGCTCACACTGTTTGTGCAGTTGTGCTGGGCACCAATTGCTGCTCTCACAGCAATTCTCTGTGAATTGAGTGCTGCAAGGAGTTTTGACGTCTCTGGTTCAGACGCGGGAGTTGTTGCGATCAGTTTAGTCACATGAAACGAGCTCCACGCAACAACGACATGTTACATTTACACGGCACCATTCGCATCAGGAGGACGTCCCAAGGGCGCTGGACAGTCGGGGGTTTGGACCCGAGCTGGTGGTTAGGATCAGGAGGGGTGGAGGGTAAGGAGGGAGAGCAAAGGCCCAGTCGAAGAGGAGGGCTTGAAGGAAGCGAGGAAGGGGCAAGACAGAGGGACTGTGGGATGGAGTTCCAAAGGGTGAGGCTGAAGGCACACTGAGCGTGACTGCACTGACCTCTTTGTTCCCAGGTGCAACTTTACAACTTCATGGCCAAGGATAATGTGCCCTTCCACAGTGTGATATTCCCCTGCTCTCTGCTCGGAGCCGAGGATAATTACACGCTTGTCAACAGCCTCATTGCAACAGGTAGTGTCTTCTCTCTGACACCTCGTACTGGTGAGGGGATAAAGGGAGGGCAGAGGTGCTGTCCTTTGGGTGAGACATTCATCCGAGGTCCTGAGTTAATCCTCCAGATTATGTTAAAGGCAAAATACTGCAGATGCTGGAAATCTGAAATAAAAACAGAAGTTGCTGGGAACACTCAGCAGGTCAGGCAGCATCTATGGAGAGAGGAAAGTGGGTTAATGTGACGAAAGGTCATCAACCAGAAGTCCTGTAGCTCAGTGGTTAGAGCACTCGCCTCACAAACGAGAGGACCTGGGTTTGATTCCCGGGCAGGGCAAAATGTTGGGCAAGTTTCCTTACTCCACACACACGCCTCTATTTACCAGCAGTCAGTAGGATCCCGGTTGTTAGTCAATTGGCAGATCGCTTGTCCGGGGTCAATAATCCCTTCAAAAATAAATACATTTTAAAAAAATAATAATAGTTTGTTCATTTAATCCACGACTGTTTGTGGGACACTGCTGTGTGTAATTGCCTGCCGCGTTTCGCCCACAAAGTATACAGTCATTACACTTTAACAGTATATTCTGTGAAGCGTTTTGAGAGACGTCTCAAGGACGTAATAAGGCACTACGTCAAGTGCAAGGATTATTAGTGTTATTATTGATAACCTATTTCTGTAACATGCACCAGCTATGATGCTAACTGTCCCCTCTACTTAAGTGCTCCAAGTCGCTACCCCTCGTGAAGGGCACTATGTAAATGCAAGTTGTTGTTGGGTTACAGAGTACCTGAATTATGAAGACGGTAAATTCTCCAAGAGCCGAGGGGTCGGAGTGTTCGGGAACATGGCGAAGGACACGGGAATCCCCGCGGACATCTGGCGCTTTTATCTGCTCTTCATCCGGCCTGAAGGGCAGGACAGCTCCTTCTCGTGGAACGACTTTTTACTGAAGAACAACTCCGAGCTGCTCAATAACCTGGGAAACTTCATTAATCGGTAAGAGCCCTGGACCGTGGCTGAGGCTGAACCCGCTCGACGCTCCGCAGATACTGACGACGTGAAAAGGCGTGGATTGGTGTGAGGCAGGCACCGATCGTCACCCGGGAACACTCGGCAGCATCTATGGAGAAAGGAAAGCGAGTTAAAGTTTCAGTTCACCGACCTGAAACGTTAACTCACTTTCCTCTCCCCATAGATGCTGCCGACCTGTTGAGTCAGGGCTTCTGGGTTGACTGTTTGCCCACCGATGTCACTACCTGTATGCTATGTGTGTGGCCTGTGTTCCACACTCTGGTACATCCCATGTCCACAGATACAAGTGGGCCTGTGCTATACAAAGTCCTGTTACACCATTACAATACAGCGATACAAGTCTACCGAGTAACTGAAACACGCTGTCAGAGATGTAAATCCCTGACTGTCCAGCGCTTTGGGAGGGATGTCTTCCTGATGTGAACGGCGCTGTGTAAATGTCGTATTGTATTGTGTACGAGTTGACTCTGTGGTGACGGTTGTTCTCTCCGGGCAGAGCTGGCATGTTTGTCACCAAGTTCTTCGACCGACTGGTGCCGGAGATGGAGCTGAACCTGGAGGACAAGCAGCTGTTGGCACAGGTGACATGGGAGCTGCAGCAATACCACCAGCACCTGGAGAAAGCACGGTAAAGAGTCATACACCATCCCACACGCGAAGCACACGTATACTGTACGCATGTTATCACTTCTAAAAAAAACTGACATGGGTGAACTTTAATAATAATAATAAATAAAAATAAATAATAATCCTTCCATTTGATTCAGCGCCTTATCACGTCTTTGAGATGTATCAAAGTGCTTCACAGAATATACTGTAGAGTGTAGTGACTGTGTATTTTGTGGGCGAAACGCGGCAGCCAATTGCGCACAGCAGCGTCCCCACAAACAGTCGCGGATTGAGGGGCCAAATTATTATTAGTTTTTTTTTGTCACGGTTGCAGGATACGGGACGCTCTGAAATGCATCCTGAACATCTCCCGTTGCGGGAACCAATACATTCAGGTGAACGAACCCTGGAAACGTATCCAAGGAAGCGATGCCGACAAGTGAGTGTCTGTGCGGAGAGCGGTTTGAGCACTGGGTAGCGACGGGTTGGTACAAATAGGACGAGGCAAAATATAAATGTAGTTTTGTTGCTGTTGTTGTTCATATTGCGCCTTGTCACGTTGTCGAGATGTTCTGAAAAGCGTTTCTTCACAGAATATACAGTGAAGAGCACTGACTGTATTTTGTAGGCGAAAGGGGGCAGCCAGTTTTGCACAGCGGTGTCCCACAAACAGTCGTGGATTGAGCGACCAATTTTATTTGGGGGATTTGTTGGCCAGAACACTGGGGCAGAGAGAGAAAATCCCTTCTCTTTTCGAATAGCGCCACGGGATCTTTAACGTAAATCTGAAGAACAGGGTTTGGCAGGAGGGCTGCCCTTGCGAGTGGATGGGTGGTGGAGGGGGTGGGGGGGAGTCTTTGGGAAATTTGTTAGGTCAGGGTATTAAGGGATACGGGGCAAGGGCAGGACGGGTAACAGGACTTGTGGTACAGATCAGCCATGATTTTATAAAATGGCGGAATGGGCTCGAGGGGCTGAAGAGCCAACTCCTGTTTCTACGATTCTATGTTTGTGTTGGTTCCACCTGTAGATGTGTTGATTTTGTTTGTTTGCGCAGGAAGCGAGCAGGCACAGTGACTGGAATGGCTGTGAACGTCTCAGCCCTGTTGGCTCTGATGCTGCAGCCCTACATGCCCACAGTGACTGTCACCATCCAGGCTCAGTTACAGACGCCCGAGGACTACAGTGTGCTGACCACTCACTTTGTCTGCCTCCTCCCTGCTGGCCACAGGATAGGAACTGTGAGTAGCGAGCACTCGGGGTAAATGTGTGACCATCCAATCGCAATAACAACTGTCGTAAATAATTTGATGTAGCACCTTATCACTAATGAGGCGTCTCAAAGCGCTTCACAGACTATACTGTGAAGTTTATTTTGTGGACAAAACCCGGCAGCCAATTGTGGAGATTGGGTGACCAAATGTTTTTTTTTAATTTATCCTGAAGGGATTATTACCCCCAGAAAGTGATCCACCACTCGACTAACAAATGGGTTCCTACTTACTGCTAGGTAAACAGGTGGGTGGAGTAAGGAAACTTACCTAAGGTTTCTTCCCACCCAGGAATCGAACCCAGGTCCTCTCGCTTGCAAGGCGAGTGCGCTAACCAATACACTATAGGACTCCACCACCCTCACTCTGTCACTGTTAAGCCGCTTCAAATGATTTTAGTCCTGACGGAATCCCTGCTTGTCACAGGGTCCGAAACACAATGTTTGCGGCCAGGAAGTTACAAGTAGCTTCTCTTGCCCGAAACCGATGTTTCACATGCTCCTCATCGATGCTGAAGGTGCGCGAGGGACAGGCGAAGAGAAAGGAGAGAGAGATTGGCTGCCATTGTGAGTGAAATAATCCTCTTTTTGAATGTAACGGTGAACGTTCTGTCCTCCCAGGTGAGCCCTCTGTTCCAGAAGCTAGAGACCGAGCAAATCGAGGCCCTCAAGAAAAAATATGGCAGCGGCCAACAGGTAAATTAGATCAGGGTATCAAGGGATACGGAGCAAGGACTTGAGGTATAGATCAGCCATGATCTTACAGAACGGTGGAACAGGCTCGAGCGGCTGAATGGCCTCCTCCTGTTTCTATGTTTCTGAATATCATCAGCCTGCTCATAAACACCTCTGGATCGATTCCATTCCAGCAGCTATCAGATGTCTGTGTGGACTGTCTGATGGGTCCTCAATCTAATGTCTCTTCTGACGGAGGGCGTCATCACTAATATGCTGCAGTATCAGCCCTGGATTGTGTACTCCAGTCGTGATTCGAGGCTTGACCTCACAACCTGCTGACCCGAGGTTACGAGGTCAGGGCTGGGTCCAGGCTGTGGACATGTGTCCCAACACAAGGCAACACCTTTGGGAATTTGGGGGAGACAGGGAGGGGGAAGAGTAAGATGCTTCCCAACTTATAGTTTACCAGATATTCTCCGGACACACTTGGGCTGGGCAGTCCGACTGCTCAGAACTGACAGCTGCATGTACTCTGTGTGTAGGCAGCAGCGTCGACCAAATCAACGGCAGCTCCAAACCAGCCAGGCCAACCCATAGCCCCAACACAGCCAGGCCAACCCGCAACCCCTGAGCAGATTAAGGAGATGACCGAGGCTGTGGCAAAGCAGGTAAGTCACTTGGCCGAGGGCGGCCCAAGTTCTGTACCGAGTATTGCCGACACTGCACTGCTTATGAACTCTCTGTCTTTGAAGGCAACCTAGTAATGTACTTTTCTGACTCGGAGCAGCCATTGGCAACAGAGCGAGCGAGTGCTGGGAGTAAAGACGTTGTCCTTGATAATCTCACCAGTCCCAATTCGCACCAAGACTGACCGACCTGGTGGTCAAAATGTAAAGTAAAGCGTGGGCTAAATAATAATAATAATGTATGTAAATGTAAGGCCTCAGGCACGAAGGAAACCAAAGTGACCTCAGGAAGGTCAAATATCCAGTGCTCCAAAAACTAGATCCTTAAATCTAAACCTAAAGCTGGCACTTGTCAGTGCCTCGAGGTCGAGTGTCTTGAATTATTTTACAAAATAATCTCGATGAGGAATGCAAGTGAATGTTATGTAAGAAAAGTCCAGCCACCGTGGCTTTGTTCTCAGGGCAACTGCGTGCGAGAGCTGAAGGCACAGAAAGCCGAGAAGTTGCTGATAGACAAGGAGGTGGCTTTGCTGCTGGCGCTGAAGAAGCAGTTGGTGGTGGCGGAGGGGAAGCCCATTGAGACCCCCTCCTCTGGAGGGAAGAAGAAGTGAGCCCGTCTCTCAGGGCCAGTCACACTCGGTGCCTTCTTTGTGTCTCTCTCCAGCATGTCACACAGTGACTCCTGCCTGACTTCTCTCTCGAGTCTCCTGTCCATTCAGAGCCAGCTTCACAGATGAAACCGACTGCCATTGCCTTCTCCAGAGAAGAAACAACAAACCTCGACTGTTTGCCTCATCCTCAGGGCAAATATCTCTTCCCCCACCCCTCTTTACCCCCCCCCCCCAAACTCTCTGGAGACATCTGTTCCCCCCGGCAGTTGATTGAGCCACTGTCACCTTAAGCAGATGTATGATTGGCTTAATAAAAAATGTTAAATTGGCCTGACAATGTTTCATATGATTGTCACCATAAATGATCAGAGTGCTGCTAATATCACCTCTAATTTTAGAGGAAGAGGGGTGACCTTGGTGCAGTGTTTCTGTATCTCACGATGTCCTGGGTGGTGGGACGGGATTGTGGTGTATTTAGGACGACGACAGAAAATATAAAATAAAAGGATTATTTCCACCATAATGTCTTTCTGTGTGTGTTTGTGTGGTGTGAGTGAGTAAGCGAGTTTGGGGGGAAGAGGGGGAGAAATTCTTCCAATGATTGTGTGAAAATACTAGATAACAATGTTCCACCAAACTGTCTTTTCTGGCCTCAGTGCTCTCCGCCTCAGGGAGGGGAAAAACATCCACGGTTGAAGCTACAGCAGTGATCTCCCCTAGCTGGAATGTTTCCGTCTGGATATCAAACGAGGGCAGAATCGTGGTTAATATGAACAATGGTCAAAAGTGATGAAAATAGCGGAAGGTACCAGTCGGCTGTCTTTCCCCCAACAGGGAGTTAATACAACAAACAATACAACTTGAAGAAAATTAGCAAGACCGTTTTTTTAAATCAATCTATTTTAAAGAGTATAAAAATTACATTAAATATGATGGACAAAATTTTGCATAAACACCGAGCACAGGACTCTAGCAAAGCCGGTAACAGTATACATTTAAGATAAACATGCTGAAATCTGTTACAAGATCACATAGGAAGATGAAACAACTAACGTCATTAATTAACCGGATAAGCAGTCATTTTCAGGTGAGGAATAGTACAGCACCAACTCATTAAGACATCGATTTCCAATCATGCTTCTACAAATACATCACTACGTTCCATTGACCGCCTGGCTTCCGAGCTGAAACCTCAGAGCTTCCGAATAACGTTCAGAATCGTACTACGACACTGCGCAAACCGTCAAAACATTACAGTACGGCCACAGGCCATACAGCCCATCGAGTCTGCACCGCAAACAAACCATCTGATCTCATCTTGCTTTACTGCTCACTCCTCCAAACCCTTCAATACTCCTCTCGAAATCAAGCTACAAAAAAATTTAAGAGCTTGCGAGGGACGGACTGGAGTTAGTGGACGGAGGAGAAGGCTGGGGAGATTGCAGAGGTCAGCAACAGGAGCACCTTGAAGTCGATCCACTGGGAGAATTGGATCATGAAGGGGATCCGTGGAGGGAAGGAGTGGGTGATGGAGGAAGGTGTGGGGGGTGGGGAAATAGAAACGGACCACAGAAGCGTATTCAGGAACCGACACGTTATTTGCAGTGACCGAGCACTGTGGATCGAAAGCTGAGTCTGCCGAGTGAATGGGGGTCGGAGATTGGAAAGGGGTTTTGAACTCTTGCAGAATTGATTGCCGTTAGCAACTAACCGGGGTCTGTTACGTCTCAACATCATCCTCTCAGTGCGAATCTGCTCCTCAATCTCCACAGAAGGTCAACTTCACCAGAACAAGACAGCTAGGGTAGCACTCCCTCGGGCCTGACAGAGAAAACTAGTTCCTCTCATAACCTTAGCCGTACGGGAGCTGGATGGACACCGGGTGAAGTAACCGTAGACCCTTCGCTTGGGTCATATATAAAAGGGACGTCTTTTAACTTGACGCCACTACTTTTTCAATCAGTTCTCTCCGAACCCTTTGCACCTCCGCGGCCAAATGCTCGATCTGATCCTTCAGTCGCTTGTTTTCCTCGATCAACTCCTGCACCAGATTCTCCGAGTCCGTCTGCTTCGCCGGGCGGCTCACCTTGCCCCCTCCAGAGCCTCCTGTTCTCCGTCTCTTGGCTCCGCATTTGCTCAGCGAGTCTTGGCACTTTTCCGCCGTCGGCAAACAGCAGCTGGAAGCCGAATCGGGCTCGGACAGAGACTCTACTCCCTGCTGTTGTTGCTGCTGCTGCTCTTCCTGTTCAGCGTTGGGGTCAGATTCCCACAGCTTGCCATCAATCTCCACGTCATCAATCGGGAATAGGTCGCAGATTTCAGCTGACTGACCAGCCGGGCACAGGTCGCAAAGTTCATTGTGTTGTTGGGCGACATTTCCGCTGTTAGAAACGAGACTGCCAGAGACTTCGTTCTCCAGAGGCCAAAAGAGTGGAGACTGATTGCAGTACTCTTGAGAATCCGATCCGAGCTATAAAAAAAAATATATTATATATATACACACACACGCATAATTCTTCAACAAAAAGCAAAATACTTTAGATGCTGGAAATCTGGGAACACTCAGCAGATCAGGCAGCATCAATGGAGAGAGGAAAGTGAGTTAACATCCCACCTACAAATGCTCTAACTACCACTCCACAGGACTCTGCAGGACTATTTGAATGCCAGGGCCACAGAACCATTGCATGTCTCAGCCCCCCCCCCCCACCCCCGCAAGGCAATCGATGCCCCGTTCACAGGTAACTGCCATCAAGCACGAAGATTGGATCTGTAGGCAAACGCTGCAGTAATTCAGTCTTACAAAACACACCAACCGAGCAGGACAAGAGCTTTATTCAGATTGGTCGTGCTTTCTCGTCAGAAGATTGTGGGTTCCACACCCACGTCAAAGTTTGAGCTCACAGTCCAGGCTGATGTTCCAGCACAGCACTGGGGGTAGGGCTTAAAAGTCAGACTTAGATGGTGCCAGTTAGTAGTGGGGTGGGTGGGGGAAAAGGGGTCTATATTGGGACGTCCTCTTGACATGAAAGATGCTATACAAATACAATTTGTTGTTGTTGTTGCCTATCTCTTACCTGGTTAATAAGAGGGGACTGGTTGAACTTTCTGTTGTCTTCCAATGTTTTTTCTGAAGGTAAAGGGAACAGAATACTCTCCAGATCATCCAACCAGGCCTCCATCTCTGGCCCCGATAGCTGGACAGGACCAGGAGGGTAGAGAATAGAACAAGACGCTTCTGTCATCATCGTCATCTATGAGCCGCCACTGAGAGAAAACAATTGCATTTTTAAGCACCTTAAACACATCACAGTGGCTTCCCAGGTAATTGCTGTCAACAGCAGTGGGGAGGGGGGTGGTTTGCAGGCAGATGCAGCTCATAATGTAATAATAATCATAATAATAATCCAATTCGGGAAAGTATTGGGCGCAGGTTGGCAGGAGCCGAGGCTTGGGGACCCAAGAGTGTGTGTTAGGGTAACGACTGGAATCTAACCAGCTAAAACCGCATAGCTTGCCATTGATATCGTTGTCTGGCAAACTTTCCTCCTGCTTGTCTAGTGTTCTCAACCACCTCACCATCCACACCCCCCCCCCACTTTCAAACCATTGTGAGTGCAGGTGGTGTCACCGGGACTGTGTCTGAGTACAATACGAGTGTAGAAAGCCCTCACCTTGTCAGGTCTTATAAATACACACGCTTCTTCCTCGACAGACCTGCAGAAGAAACCAGAATGATAACTTTACAATTAAAAATAATTGGAAAACCCCTCACATTTGATCTACATCAGGGTGGCCAACCGTTAGGCTGCTGAGGGCCGGACGGATGGCGTGTTTGAGAAATGTCCGCGGGCCACACAAACAATACTTTCGCGTTTCCCTTCCAGAAACATAACATTTCTGGGTTATGGAGGATGCGGCTGTGCCAGATGAAATGGAGGGAGGGACCGGATGAAATCGTTACACCACCATGATCTACATCATCATAATTACTGTGTCAGAAGGATGTCTCAAAGACCGTTTAGTGCCTCATCCAAAGTACTGTGCACTGTGCTGAGCGTCAGCCTGGACTCTGAACTCAAAGTGGATTGTGAACCCACAACCTCTGACGCAAAGGCAAGAGAATGACTGGCAGCCAAGCTCGTGTCTGGGGAACGTAGGAACAGGAGGAGGCCATTCAGCCCCTCGAGCCTGTTCCGCCATTCTATTGGATCACATCTGATCTGTACCTCAACTCCAATTAAACCACCTTTGCTGCATATCCCTTTATACCCTTTGGATCTTAGGTCCACACAGCTTTCTACTGTGTTGGTGGACTAATCGATACAGAATTGATTGCTATCAAAATCTCCACTGTTATAGATGGTAGAAGGTGAATGAGATGGACCTTGTTCTGTGTTTGTCCAGCAATGCCTATGTTCACTTTCAAAATTCTATCAACCTCAGTCTGGAAAACTGAATGTTGAATTGGGAACGTAGTTTTTTTTCTGAGCCCATGAGATTGTGCTGGTATTCATCAGTTAAAAAGGATTTATTTTCTTTCCCTGTTTGCTGAGTTTCTCCACTGACTGACTCTCTGCGCTCACCCACCCACCACAGTTGGTCAGAATCATCTCCATTCGTTCGCCCTCGTTTTTTCAAATTAATTTCATAATTAAAGGCCACCTCCACATGTTTGCGCACAGCATCGGAGCTGAGGTACGTCATCTAATATAATTGCGGAACAGGTTCGAGGGGCTGAATGGCCTCAACTCAACCCCAACTCACAAGCATTCCACATGTCTGTGAATAAGCCAACACACTGTCAATTCACTTTACAGTATATTCTGTGAAACGCTTTGAGACGTCTCGAAGACATGATAAGGCGCAGTATCAAATGCAAGGATTAGTATTATTATTATGGGGCTGTTCGCTCACTCACTTTTCTGAAAGGCTGACTCTTGTAACTGGGAACAATGCCTGAGGATTTCCTGCTTCTGTCTGTAATTCCTTGAACAGGAAGAACACCAGACACCTCTCCCAACCAGCCTTTAGAAAGTCTGAACCTGGATTAGGGATTAGTTACAGGAACAGATGGGCAGACAGAGGACTCTCAAACACTGCCGTTGTTTAATAATAATCCTTGGGTTTGATATAGCCCCTTATCGTGTCTTTGAGATGTCTCAAAGCGCTTTGTGGAGTCCTGTAGCTCAGTGGTTAGAGCACTCGCTTTGCAAGCGAGACACCTGGGTTCAATTCCAGGCAGAGGGCGAAACCTTGGGCAAGTTTCCTTACTCCACACAGAGCCTAATAATAATCCCTCCAAAACCAAAACAATAAATTGGTCATTTCAATCCACGACTGTTTGTGGGACATTGCTGTGCGCAATTGGCTGCCGCGTTTCGCCCACAAATATACAGTCAATTCACTTTACAGCATATTCTGTGAAGCGCTTTGAGACGTCTCGAAGACGTGAAAAGCTCTATATCAAATACAAGGATTATTATTATATTTTGTGGGCAGAACGTGGCAGCCAATTGCACACAGCAGTGTCCCACAAACAGTCGTGGCCAATTATTACTATTATAATATGTTTTTGAAGGAATTATTACCCCCGGAAAAGCTATCCGCCAATCCACTAACAACCAGGTTCCTGCTTACTACTAGATAAACAGAGGCGTGTGTGTGTGGAGTAAGGAAACTTGCCCAACATTTCGCTCTGCCCGGGAATCGAACCCAGGTCTCTCGCTTGCGAGGCGAGTGCTCTGAGCTACAGTAGCCAAATTCCACACAATTCTACACAACAACTTTCCATCTTATGTCATCTGAGAACTGGGCAGTGGGGAGAGCGCGAGAAAGGGTGTTGTCCTACGTCAATGAATGAATGAAATTCACTTCTCAACATATAGCATTCTCAATTCTACAAAAAAAAACACAACCACTCAACCAACGTCCGAGCCGTTTTGTTTTAAAATTACCAAAGATAGCTGTTGCGATTTTTTTTAACAAAAGGAAGATTTATTTTGAAGAGGGGAAAAGAAAATCCGAGAGGGAAACAGAGAGACCGAGAGAGGAGAGAGACAAAGGGGCTTTGATAAAACACCGGCAACCCCTAACACGGGAAATGACTCATTTGGAACAGTTTAAACCTTTCTCTCTCCCGTCTGTGTCGAGAAGAGAAGAGATACTCACTTTATGCTTGTTATGATTGTGCTCTGGATGCTGCCACTTTAGGAATTGGTGCTGATTTTTTCGAGAGAGCTGAGTTCTCATGTTCATCATTGTCGGGTTGCGAGCTCTTTGCTGCGGTTCCTCCCCGGTAGAAATGACAGGTCAAGCTATCGGAAGGGAGAAGCCGTAGCAGAGTCTATCTGGAGCACGCAGGGCTGGTCAAAGGATGGGAGTGATTGACTTGCATAATAAACCATTTAATATCCATTCCGCCCCCGGCTCCCCCAATCAGGCTGATGTAAGGACAGGATTTGCTGCTTCCCCTGAACTCCACAGTCACGGGTTTGCCATGACTCACACCCTGTGAAAGCCGGGCATGATGCAACAGTAAGAAATTAACTCGACCCCAAAAAAGGTTCTAACGTTACGACCAGTTCTGATCGTGCTAATAATAACCCCGGCATTCGATTCACGTCTTCGAGACGGCTCAGAGCGCTTCACAGGATGTGACTGTAAAGTGACAAAACACAAAATACTGCAGATGCTGGAGATCGGAAACAAAAACAGAAGTTGTTGGGAACGTTCAGCTGTACTGTACTGTAACACTAACTGTGCAGTGGATTGACTGTATATTTGTGGGCAAAACGCAGCAGCCAATTGGGCACAGCAGAAGCCCACAAACAGTTGTGGGTTGAAGTGACCAAATTATTATTGTTTTTTTTCTTGAGGGATTATTATCAGGCGTGTGGAGCAAGGAAACTTGCTCAAGGTTTTCACCCTCTGCCGGGAATCGAACCCAGGTCTCTTGCTTGCGAGGCGAATGCTCTAACCACTGAGCTGCAGTGAAAGGCGCTCTATAAATGGAATCTTGTTGTTGTTGTTGTTGTTGCAGGACTCCACGCTGGTTATTCCATACAACACGATGCTCTATCCACAATTCCACTCTACCTGACCATTAATCATATTTATGATAATAATCTTTGCTTTTCCTACAGCGCTCAGGATATTAAAATAAAGGATCGCTTATTGTAGTGTAGTAACTGTGTTTTTACAGTCAGCCAGATTGCGCAAAGCCAAGGGCCACAATAACAGCCCTGAAGTTAATGACTAATTCGTCAGGAAGGGTTGTTGGCAGGACATCAGGGAGAGACTCCATTCTCTTCTCCCCAATAATATTGCGGTATCATGTGAAAAAATAATAATTTGGCCACTTGATCCGCGACTGTTTGTGGGGACGCTGCTGTGCGCAATTGGCTGCCGCGTTTCGCACCGCAAAATATACAGACACTACACTTTACAGTATATTCAGTGAAGCGCTTTGAGACGTCTCGAAGACGTGATAAGGCGCTGTATCAAATGCAAAGATTAATGTTATTATTATTGCAGGGTCTTTAACGTCCACCTGAACAGGCAGACAAGACCTTAGTTCCTCAGTTTAATGTCCATTCTGAAGTACAGCCTGTGAGAGATGCCGTCTGGCGTGAGGGTCGCGATATAAATATAAGTTGTTGCGACTGTTTAACCCCTTTCCCTCCCACTCCGGGCTGTAGCGTCAGCCTCACCTGTGAGCTTTAAAAGTCCTGATTTAGGGCTCAACCTTCTGACCCCAGAGAGAGAGTATTGACAGCTGAGCCAGGCTAACACCTTTTGCGTTGTTAAGATCAAAAGATATGGAGACGCCAGTTTCAAAGATGTTTTGGCAGCAGCAAGTGTTCATTAACAGTGGGAACAATGTTAGAGGCAGGTTACTATGGCTTCAAAGTGATTTATTTTGGCAATCTCTCTGGAGCAGCCAGATCCGTAGTTCCTCTCGGACACCTGTTTATTAGCTCCTGTAACTCTGTATATGAACAACAGCATTACATTCGTACAGCGCCTTTCACGTCGGGAGGACATCCCAAGGCACTGGACAGTCATGTTTCGGACCATTTCTGCGGGTTGGGATTGGGGAGGGTGGAGGGCAAGGGGGGTGAAGCAGGGTGAAAGCATGGCCAAAAAGGAGAGTCTTGAGATGGGTCTTGAAGGAGGCGAGGGAGGGGACGAGGCGGAGGTACTGTGTTTCAGAGGATGGGCGCAGAGTGGCAGAAGGCCTGCCCGCCAATGGTGGAGTGGGCGAGGTGGGGGAGTGAAGCAGGTCGGAGCCCACTGAACAGAGGGAGAGAGGTTGGTAGGGAGGAACAAGACCATGGAAGGCTTTGAAGGTGAGGACCAGGATCTTGAACTGTATCCTCTGTGTGATGGGAAGCCAGTGGAGTCGGGCAAAGATGGGGGTGATAGGGTCATGGACCTGATGTGGGAGGGAACACAGGCTGCAGAGTTCTGGATGATCTGCAGCCTATGGAGGGAGGAGTTGGGGTGGCTGACAAGCAAGGAGTTTGTATAGTCGAGCCTCGATGCAATGAAAGTTTGTATGAGGGTTTTGGCGGCCTGCAGTGTGAGACTGGCGGAGCTGGGCGATGTTGTGGAGGTGGGGGAAGGCAGACCAGGTCATGGTGCAGATGTGGGGTAGAAAGGATAGTTGAGGGTCAAACAAGACGCCAAGGTTCCGGACTGACTTAGTAAAATGGAGTGTGTATCCATGGATGGTGATGCTATCAGCGCCTGAAGTGTGGAGGCACTGACGGGAGCCAAACAGGAGAGCCTCAGTCTTGTTGACATTGAAGAAAGTTCGCTCTCATCCAGGACTTGATGTCTGATAGACATTCTGTCAGGACAGCAGCGGCCCAGGAGTCAAGACTAACAACCAGGTAGGTAAACAGGGGCGCGTGGAGTGAGGAAACTTGCCCTCTGGGAATCGAACCCAGGTCTTTCGCTTGTGAGGTGAGTGCTCTAACCACTGAGGATGAGGAGGGGTGGTGGGAGTGGGTGTGGGAGGGGGTGGAGGTTGCGTGAAGTAGACTGTAATATCGACCGTGTTGTAACATTATATGTAACCCTATGAACCGGGAAAGACTATTTACCCCATCAAACCAGTTTCGCCCACACATCGTGTGCAATCCATTGGCGGGAGAGCCTTCAGCCACTCTGCCCCCAACCTTTGGAATTCCATCCCCCAATCACTCCGCCTCACCCCCTCCTTAGCCTCCTCCTAGTTCCGCCTCAAGACCCTCCTCTTCGACCATGCCATTGGTCACCCCCCTTCCCCTCCCCTCCCTTCTCCCCCCGACCCCAGCTCGGGTCTGAACTGCTGTACGCTGTCCAGCGCCTTGGGACGTCCGCCCGATGTGAAAGGCGCTATACACGTGTAATCGCATTGTTGTTCTTGTAATCCACCATTTAGGCCATAACATACGCAGTCAATACTGTGTATTCTTTGAGAAGGTCTCAAATCCAAAGATTATTATTATTATTATTATTATTATTCGTATCCGCTCCGCACACAACTTTTGCTGAGTAGACATCATGGCTTTTGCTGATTCCAATAATAATTAACTTCTTCACTCACTCACTCACTCCCTTCTTCACTCACTCCCTTCTTCACTCACCCACTTACTCCCTTCTTCACTCACTCACTCACTCCCTTCTTCACTCACTCACTCACTCCCTTCTTCACTCCCTCCCTCCCTCCCTCCCTCCCTCCCTCCCTTCTTCACTCACTCACTCCCTTCTTCACTCACTCACTCACTCCCTTCTTCACTCACTCCTTCACTCACTCCCTTCTTCACTCACTCCTTCACTCACTCCCTTCTTCACTCACTCACTCACTCACTCCCTTCTTCACTCACTCCTTCACTCACTCACTCCCTTCTTCACTCACTCACTCCCTTCTTCACTCACTCACTCCCTTCTTCACTCACTCCTTCACTCACTCACTCCCTTCTTCACTCACTCACTCCCTTCTTCACTCACTCCTTCACTCACTCACTCCCTTCTTCACTCACTCACTCACTCCCTTCTTCACTCCGCCCCCCACAGCCTCTCAGCCAATCCCTGACCCTCGTGCACCACGTGACCTCCAGGCTTCCGGGTCAGGGGTCAGGTGGCGCTAAACCGGAAGTGTCGGGTCAGGTCTGGTCGGAGAGCGAGCGATGGGGAGCGCGAGCGGAGTCGGGCCCGGGGCCGGGCGGCGGGGCTGGAGGTGAGGCCGAGGCCCGGGGGCCGGGGCCGGGACCGGAGCCGGGGGGGCGGGACCGGTCCGGGGGCGGGACCTGGAGCGGGGAACCCGAGGGGGAGGCCGCGGCCGCACAGGCCCCGCCACAGCCCCGGCCTCGGGTAGTGTTGACACGGCCCCCCCCCCCCCCCCCGTGTAGCCGCTAATTGGGAGCGACTTCATTCCCTTAACCCCTCCTCGACATCGCTGTCAAACAGCCTCAACACTCCGCCCCCCCCCCCCCCCACACACACACAGACCCCCCCCACACACACATACCCACAGACCCCACACACAGAACCCCCCCCACACACACACGCACAGACCCCCCCACACACACACATACCCACAGACCCCCCCCCCCACACACACACACACACAGAACCACCCCCACCACACACACAGAACCCCCCCACACACACACACACACAGATCCCACCACACACACACACAGAACCCCCCCACACACACCAGACCCCCCACACACACACACAGACCCCCCCCCCACACACACACAGAACCCCCCCCCCCACACACACACACCCACAGAACCCCCCCCACAGAGCCCCCCACACACACACACACACAGACCCCCCCCACACACACACACAGACCCCCCCCCCACACACACACACACACAGACCCCCCCCCACACACACACACACAGACCCCCCCACACACACACACAGACCCCCCCCCCCCCCACACACACACCACAGAACCCCCCACCCACAGACCCCCCCACACACACACACACACACAGAACCCCCCCCACACACACAGACCCCCCCACACACACACACACACACAGACCCCCCCCCCACACACACACAGACCCCCCCCACACACACACACACAGACCCCCCCCACACACACACACCCACAGACCCCCCACAAACACACACAGACCCCCCACACACACACACCCACAGACCCCCCACACACACACACAGACCCCCCACACACACACACACACTCTCCCCCCCACACACCCACAGACCCCCCCCCCCACTCCGTGTCTTCTTGTCTTGTAATTTTAGAGCAAGAAATTTTTTTTCCTGATTAATGCACGAACACTGATGTGCGGTCGCAGACCCCCCCCCCCCCCCCCCCCCCCACCCCGCACACCCCGGTCAGCGACAGCGGCCACCGGTCACCGCTTCCGTGGACGCGCCGCCGCCTTTCACGTGCCGTCGGCAGGACTGTCGCCCGTAACGTCCCGCGCCGTGTCCCTCCGGCTCCCGGTACAGCCCAGCGCCCGGCGCCCGACACCGAGCGACTCCGCCCACAAAAACACGCAGTCGCTACGCTCGGCGGCGCATCCCCTGAAGCGCTTTGAGACGTCTCGAAGACGGGATGAGGCGTCGGGTCAAAACGCGGCGATTGTTGTTGTTGTTGTCTGGTACCGATGGCCCGACAGCTGCTCGATGCTGCAGCACAGCGTCTGACGCGGCTCCCCGGCTCCGTGCGTCCGGACACAGCGGCGCCCGGGAATCCAGTGACTCGCGGACGCTCCGGGACGCTGTCCGGCCCGAAGGGGCGCTATGTAAATGCAAGTTGTCGTCGCCACCGCTGTCGACGCGTAGCGACCGTGGCAACGGTCACAAAATAAGTGTCGGCCTTCTGCTGTGGGCAATCGGCTGCCGGGTTTGCCCGTAAAATATACAGTCGATTCACTTTACAGCGCATTCCGCGAAGCGCTTTGAGACGTTTTAGCGACGGGATAAGGCGCTGTATCACACGCGAGGATTATTATTATATATTATTACGTTCAACTTCGAAAGTAACGGTGTGAGAAGAGAGGCTGAGAGACGTGTTGATGTGATCGGTCTCCGTGTCAAACGCGAGACCTTTTCTTTAAAAAAACAAACGCTGGTGCTGCTGTGTTGATGGCGTGATCACGTGCTCCGAGGGCTGTCGTTACCGCGTGTGGAAAGTCAGCGCGTCATGAAACGGTCGGGGTGGGGGGGGGGGGGGGGGGCAGTCTGCTCAGTGATACGCGTCCCCTTGCCCTGCCACGATTACCCGACATCTGCTCTCCGTGGCAGACAGTAGAAGCCGTGAACGCTTGCCCCTGATCGCACCTGTAATATCAAAACATCTCAGAGCACTTCACTGACAATTGCTGTCAAGGGTAGCGACTGTCTGCCCGTAGGCAAACACAAACGGCAAAGTCTCACCCACAGGCTGGAGATGATCGATTAATTTATCTGGAGGAGTGCTGTCCAGCCCGTCTCTGTTCCAATCGTGATTGAGCGGGAACACGGGATGTCAGTAGATGTAAAGTGTCACCCAAAGGACGGCACCGCTGGCAATGCTCTGCTCCCTCCCCTCTCCCCCCACAACACCGGGACCATCAGCCTGGACTGTGAGCTCAAGGTCTGTCACCTTGATCGATGTAAAGTGATTTGAGTCGTTTTCCCTGTATATGAAAATTGCTGTACGAGGGCACGTTGTTTTGTTGAACCCACAGCCTTTTAGTGCAGAGACCAGAATAATACCAACTGGGACGAGCTATGACAAAATAACCCTCGCATTTGACACAGCGCCTTATCACGTCTTCGAGACATCTCAAAGAGCTTCACAGGATACACTGTGAAGTGAATTGACTGTGTATTTTGTAGGCGAAGAGCTGAGAAGGGTTAGATCCTCTCAAATGTTTCCGCGTCAGGTTGTGGGACACTTGAGTTTGATCAGGATTAATCCATTTATATTAACGTAGATTAATTTGTATATTAATGGATATTCTGTGAAGCGCTTTGAGACGTCTTGAAGACGTGATAAGGCTCTATATCAAATACGAGGATTATTATTATGTTTATTATTATTTTTCTTTCAGCTCCTGACTGGTGCCACTCAGCGCGAGCGAGTGTGACCTGGAAAGCGACACTGCACAGCAGAAGTGAGGCAGACCGACACAATGGCTCCACAGCGAATGGGCTCCCTTCCCCACAGGGTACTAACTGCACGGACTGGCCTTGAGGGGAAGGTGCTGAGTTGTACAGGGGTTCTGGCTGAGGGGCAATGACCTGAAGCTGACTTTATCCCTTGGGCCTCAGAGAGAGAGAGAAGAAATAGCAAAATGAACGGCGGGAAGGAATGTAGCGGCAGCGACCAGGGTGGGGGTTCGCTGGCAGCCCAGGTTCCTGTCGGCTGGGAGAGGAGAGTGGATCAGGAGAGGGTGGCATATATCAGGTGAGGGGTGAACAGAGATCCGCTGTTATAAAACCTGTAAGATGTCTGTGGGACGCTGCTGTGTGCAATTGGCTGCCGCGTTTCACCCTCAAAATACAGTCAATTCACTTTACAGTATATCCTGTGAAGCACTTTGAGACGACTCGAGGACGTGATAAGGCGCTGTATCGATTGCAAGGATTATTATTATTATGTTCAGTGTTTGCTGGGTTGGGCTTGGAGTGTTTCATAGTTAAGAACCACTGCGATGCATTCTGTATGAGTGGCATTCACACGGGGCTCTCAATCCATTTCAACTCAGTCACTTTTCTCCGGGGGTGGGGTTGGGGAGGGGGAAGTGTCAGAGAACAGCTGATTTTTGTAATGTGGGACACTGCTGTGTGTAATTGGCTGCCACGTTTCGCCCACAAAATATATTCAATTCACTCTACAGTATATTCTGTGAAGCCCTTTAAGACATCTCAACGTTGGGATACGGCGCTGTATCAAACACAAGGATTATTATTATTATTAATGGGGAGAGGGAGAACCGAATCGATTCCTTAAATGTAGCTCCTGGTCTTCAGTAAAATACCGCAGAATAAAGGATTTTGGAGAGGAGTAAACAGAGTCCATTTTTTGGGCACTTTTCTGAAATTCGATCAAGCTCCAAATCACTGATTTTTATTTCGTCTCAATTGTGTAAATATATACAGAGCCTTTAAGCATAAAATAATAATAATAATCCTATAATAAGAAGAGCAATAATAGCCGTCTCAAAGCACTTTGCAGAATTTCCTGTAAAGCCAATTGACTGTATATTTTGTTTGGCAAAACACGGCAGCAAATTGCGCACAGCAGTGCCCCACAAGCAGTCGTGGATTGAGTGACCAAATTATTACTATAAAANTTTTTTGGAAGGGATTTTTACCCCCGGAAAGCATTCCGCCAATTGACTAACTACCGGGTTCCTTCTAACAACTCGGTGAACAACCGTGTGGAGTAAGGAAACTTGCCCAACATTTCGCCCTGATGGGAATCGAACCCAGGTCCTCTCGCTTGCGAGGCGAGTGCTCTAACCACTCAACAATAAGACTCTTAATTGTTCAATAATCTACAAAATATTATTGCACAATAGTTTCAGTCGCCATTCCCTGCCAGAGACCGTCCCACCTTTCCCATGACAGGACTTTGAGCTCACAGTCCAGACTGATGCAATATTTCGGGATGCAACATTGCCGGAGGTGACATCTTTCAGATGAGGACAACAACAACATTATGTTTGTATAGCGTCCTTCACATCGGGAGTATGTCCCAAGGTGCTGGACAGTCAGTGTTAAACCGAGTGAGAAGTTAAACCGATGTCCCTTCTGCCAGTTCAGGTGGCGTTAAATCTGGATCACTCTGCACTGCAATGGCCAGTGCTTTTACCCACATGGCAGGTCAAGTTCTTAATAATAATCCCTGCATTTGATACAGCACCTTAACACGTCTTCGAGACGTCTCAAAGTGCTTCACAGGATACGCTGTAAAGTGAATTGACTGTAACCTTTGTGGGCGGACTGTATATTTTGTGAATTCATACCCCCCGCCCCCCCCGCCACTCCCCTTTGTCAGTGGTTTATTACAAGACGGAGAACAGTTTTTCAGCATTTGTGACCTAACCTCTCCCTTTCTGTCCAGTCCCAGTGGCACGGTTCTCTCTTCTGTGCAGCAGGTGAGGGCTTATCTCCTGACTGAGGGAGCTTGCAAGTGTGGCCTGGAATGTCCTCTTATCCTGCACAAGGTAAGCTGCAATTGGGAAGGTTTCTTCCTCTCCATAATCGCGGGAAATGTGTGTGCTTCATGCTCCGCCACTGTCAAGCGCTCTGGGATGGTACCATGTGTGAGGGGCGCTGTATAAATACAAGTTATTTTTGTACTTAAGAACATATGTACTAATTGTACCCTTCCATTGCCTGTGTTACATCCTCTGGAACACACTGCATAGTACTTTAACATAGCTTTGCTGTGTCCAGAGGGGAAGCTGACATGCACACAATTCTTGGTGTCAGCCTGACTCAGTAGCGCTCTCATCTCTTGAGTCAGAAGGTTGTGGGTTCCAGTCCCCTGTCGATACTTTGAGCTCACATTCTAAGCTGAGGCTCCAGTGCAGTACTGCGGGAGCATTGCATTGTCAGAAGTGCCGTCCTTCAGATGAGAAATTGAACGGAGGTCCCATTTGCCTATTCAGGTGGATGTTAAAGATCCCACCGTACTGTTTGGAAAGAGAAGGGAGTTTCTCCTCGTGTCTTGGCTGACAGTCCCCTCGTTAAATTGGCTGGTTGTGGGACATTGTTGTGTTACTACGGTCACCTACAAATTACACACTCACTATATTTTACAGTATATCCTCTGAAGCGCTTTGAGATGTCGCGTTGACGTGGTAAGCGTTCCGGGACACTACCCCACGTGAAGGGCGCTATATAAATGCAAATTGTTGTAAGTGACTATATCAGATGTAAGGATTATTATTATTACGTCTCGATGATGTGATAAGGCGCTGTATCAAATGCAAGGATTAGTGCATATCATATTACAAATCCTGTGAAGTGCTTTGAGATGTTTTCGACGATGTGATTTGGTGCCATAACAAATCAATTACAAGGATATTTAGAGTCTCCTAAGACCATTTAAGTGGGTACTTATAGCAGTAGGATTACAGAGTGCGTTTGCCAGGTGTGGAGGTTTGCAGTCTCTATCGTGGGGGGAGGTGGGGGAGGGAGACAGAGAGCACAAGCACAGGTTGGTATCTTCATCCATACCTTTGGTCGCCAACAAACCTCTTCCATTTCTTGCTCAGTTTCTGCCACTCCCCTCCCAATCCATCCTGGCTTCATGTGAGATGTTCTCATATATAAATGGCCCTATGTTTCTGGAAGATGTTGTCTCCCTCGCCTCCTTCAAGTCACGTCTCCTCTTCGACTGTGGCTTCAGTCACCCTCCTACCCCCTACCCTCCCTCCTGATCCCAAGCCCCAGCTCAGTTCCAAATCCCTGACTGTCCAGCACCTTGGGACGTCCTCCCGACAGTAAGGATAATGTGTTGTTGAGTTTCTGACCTCCGTTTTGCAGGTGTTCAGCTTTGACCCCGGGGCGAGTGTGAAGCGCAGGACGGCCGAGGATGTCAAAGCGGACGAAGACGTGATGAAGCTCTGCAATCACAAGAGGAAGATCATCGCGATGGCCACACTTCACAAGAGCATGGAGACCACGCATTCATCGCTCGCCCTGAGCAGCCCCACCACTGGTACTGACCGTTTTTTTTTGGTGTGTGGGGGGGTGGTGTGGGTGGGGTCAGCCTCCAGTGACCGGTTTGCCCTTCCAGGTCCTGCCGATGAGTCAGGCCACTCGGCTCAGGATCTGGATTACTGAGACCGCCACAGAGGGCTGGCTCGATTCCAACATCACGTTGCAAAGAATAATATCTCTGGGATTTGTGATAATATAATAAATGGATATAATATTACTGGTATTAAAATTCCTGGAAGGCCAGACCAGTCACTGGGGGCAGGGAATCATCCCACTCAGCTCCTGTTAACGCTGCAAGCCAAACACCCTAACGGGTAGGGTGGTCCTAGCTGGACAAGCAGCGGGAAAGCTAGTTAGGAACGCAGGAACTGGAAGAGGCCAATCAGCCCGTCCATTAAACCTGAAGCAACTCTTTAATTCCATTCCCTCACCTTTTCTCCACACCCTTTACGGTTCCCATTGTTGGTCAATATAAAACATTTCAGAACTCCCAGCCATGTTGAAGATCCCGTGACCCCCAAAATGTCCCCCAAAATAAAATCCCAGATGGCTGTTGGTGGGACAATGCTGCGGGGAACTTGCTGCTGCGATTCACCCACAAAAATACACAAGTGAATCCACTTCACAGTATATCCTGTGAAGCGCTTTGAGACGTCTCAACGACGTGATAAAGCGCTGTGTCAAATGCAAGGATTATTATTATTTATTAAATAACCCGTGCAGTAGCTGACCTGGGAGTGTGTGGAACCGACGCTCTGTGCCCGAGTCAGGAAACTGTTAATAAGCAACTACATTTACTGCTTCTAACGCTTTGTTTTTATGAATTTCAGGAGGAAATTCTGGCCTGCTTACCCACACTACTCCATCCGGGACTGCGCTGGGCAAACCACAGCATTCACTATCGCCCGAGTACAAGAACATTTTTCTGTCCAAGCTCATGGGCGCTCCGAATTCACTGGGGAGGCCCTTCCAGCCAGCGTCGTCTCCAAACCACGACCCTCACTCTGGTTACCCCCGGCAGAGGCACGGCAGCTCTGACCACAGACAGACATCTCCTTGCTCCCGCCATCGGGGCGACCCGACCAGTCCTGTCTCAGCGGGGACCACCCTCCCCACCGCCAGCGCTCTGTCTCCTCACCTCGAAAGTAAAGGAAGATGTGAAACTTTTGCAAGGACTTATTCCCCCTTTAATCCTGAACTCCATTCGGGCTCGGTCCATTTGCACCAAAACCCTTTGATGGCTGTGGGGTTGCCACAGAAGTCTCAGGCGCTGCTCTCACGTGGTATGATCAGCCCTCCTCCTCCTCCTCCTGCTCCGCTCCCTCGCTCTCCAAAAAGCCCTCTGGTCAAGAACTCTTGCGGTTTTGCATCGAACGCTGATATCGCGGCCTCTGTGTTCCAAAAACGTTCTCCGGGTCCCGTCACTTCTCTTCAGAACCCGAAGGATCCTCTCGGCATCTTGGATCTGATCTGTGATGGCCTAGAGCCCACGGGTGGGGGGTGTTCGACCGCCCCCGCCGCCCAGCCCTCCCAACACTCTCAGGTAGCTGCGCTGAATGTAAACGTCCCACCGCTGCTCAGCCATCTCCCTTCACTGGCGGGCAGCACGGCTCACGGAAGCCCCCACCCAGAATCGTCCCTCGCTCAAGTGGTCGGGGGGGTCAAGCGAGCACCCCAGAGGTCACGGCCTTCGTCCACCTCCTCGGACCAGGAAGGTTACACGCTGACCGGCCAGCAGTCTCGCTGCAGCACCCCAAAGTCTCACTCGAGATCCCCAAGGTCACTGAATTCCCCCAGGCCGTCGTTGCCGCCGAGTCCGAAGGCCAAAGTGGACGGGTTTTTCCAGCAGTACAAGGAGCTCTCTGGCCCGCTCTTTGCCACGGCCGGCAATGCCGCGAGCCACCAAAGCCTCCCCCTGCACCTGCCCGCGCCCACTGACAATGTGCCTCAGCCGATGAAGCCGCCCGGCCTCCTCGGCATGCCTTTGAACGAGATCTTCAGCCAACAACACAACGCTGCCTTCTTCCCAGCGAGCAGCTTGCTCTCGGCGGCAGCCAAAGCCCAGCTGGCCAGTCAGAACAAGATGGCGGCCGGCGGTGGGTACAACGCTACAGCCACCGGCAACCATCGGACCCCTGAGATACAAAGCACTTTACCCAACCATTTCTCTCCAGCTCCCAATCGGCTCCTCCCCATGGCTGACCCCCCGTGTGGCCCCCAAAGGGATAAGGCAGCGGCTCAACACAAGGACTTGTCCAAGAAACGGAAAACGGCCACTCCCACTGTGCTGAGCATGCTCAAACAGTCCCAAACCAACCTGTCCAATGGATCGAAGCTCGAAGCTGACATATTAAGGAACCAATGGCCCAATCTCTCTCTGGTCAACCAGCCCATGTCTCAGTTACTTCACTCTTTGAGTGCTCAGAGCTCTCAGGCAAATAGCAATAACAGTACTTGTCATATAAACTCTGTGTCTTTTCCGTCTTGTACCAATAACCAGTTCAATATCGTAGCATCAAACCTAAACCCTTCTCCTGTGCAGAACCTACCGGTTGTAAATGTGCCTGTTGGGTCTGTTGGAGAGACAACCTCCAGCCAAAGTCTAAGCACTAACCTACTCTCTAGCTATCAGGAGGCCAACAGTCACCTTCTTGGCCTGGTCGGCCAGCTGGCTCTGTGTTCCCCAGGACCTTCCTCGGGAAGTGCCCCTGTCCTCAAGATTCCAGCCTCCACGCTGCTCATGCTCCCACACAGCTCTGGCAGTAGCAGCCAAAACCTTGCTGATGTAGGTAAGTAGACCTGAAATCAATTGGGAACTTCTCTAACATGCATCTTAAGTTCTATGGTTACACAGAGAGTGTTAGGGTCTGGAACACACTGGCAGAAAGGGTGGTGGAGCAGATTAATTGACAACTTTCGAAAGGGAATTGGCTAGGTGCTTGAAGGGGAAAAATGTGCAACAATATGGGGTAAAAGTAGGGGAGTGGGATTGATTGGGCAGCTCTTCTAAAGAGCCGGCAGTCACGATGGACCGAATGGCCTACCTCTGTGCTGTAATATTCTATGATTCTATTCTAAGTGGCAAGTGTCCCCCTTGGCTCAATTGGTCACAATCTCACTTTTGTGTCAGACGTTTGTGTGTTAAGAACATTAGAATTTGCTAGGCCAAAGCAGACCAAGGTCCATCCAGTTCGCCTTCCACCATCCTGGCAGTCGCATGACATGTTGTGTCCCAAACTATATACTGTATCCCTAGTTGTTATTGCCTAAAATAAATCTATCTAATTTGTTCTTGAAACAATCAACACTTTCTGCTTCCACCATTTCCCTCGGGAGCCTGTTCCATAAGTTTACTACTCGCTCACTGAAGTAGTGTTTCCATCCTACATTAGGAACTGAGCTGATTGTCTAGGCTGACACTCGAGTTTAATACTAGGGCAGAGGCATGGAGGATTGGGGATACCACCTTTCATCTAAGATGTATTGGCGTTTTGTCTACCAGATCAAATGGATGCTAAGGATCCTTTTGCAAAAGAGAACAAGTTTCTCCCAGTGTCCTGGCCAACAACCCTCCAGATCAACCTCTCATTCATTTCATAGCTGTTGTAGGGATATTATTGTAAATGTGAAAGGTTTCTATATTTCGATGCTGCACTAAATGCAAAGATAATTATCCTTTTGTGCACTTTTGAGTTCCAGGAAACAGTCTGACTTTGTTCATGAATTCAGATGGTCCTGATTTATTCCTGTTGAGGGTGTGAGTTCAGTATTTGAATACTTTTTTCTCCTATTTAGTACAACTAATTTCCCTTAGTTAATAAGGTAGTAATTCCTTCAAGATATATAAAAACAATTTGGTCACTCAATCCACAACTGTTTGTGGGAAACTAACGAGCGCAATTGGCTGCCTCGTTTCACCCACAAAGTATACAGTCAATTCACTTTACAGTATATTCTGGGAAGTGCTTTGAGACATCTCGAAAACGTGATAAGGCGCTGTATCAAATGCAAGTATTATTATTATTAGTAGTAGTAGTATTACAGCAATAAGTTTCTACTTGTGACTTGTGATTTCTAAACTGTGGGTATCTTTCTGTTTCTGTTCCAGAAGGTGCCAGCCAGTCTGTTTCCGTCTCTATCGCTGGCAAAGGTCACCCCGCCATCACCAAGACCACCTCAGTCCTCAATCCTGGTGTGATAGTTACCACTACAGTAGACGGATCCTTGCCTGGCCCGTTGCCTCTTGCAGATGCCTTTGCGTTCATTAACCAGGATCAGGTGCTTCCATTTGGACATTCAACATCCCCGAGTGGTGGACAATCCAATCCTCTGAACCCAAACCTACTTAGCTCCCTTCCCATCTCGCTGCCCATGAACCAGCAACCGACGCTCAACCAAAATCCATTGCAGTTGGTTCCCACTGCAGTAGAAGGGCAGGGCGATGGCATGTTGAACCTTTTGGGCCTTCTTAACCCTACCTTGAACCCAGCTTTATCTCCAAATTCCAATGACCTCGATGGACAAACACTACAAGCCCTCCAGATTCTAATGGCTGCCTTGCATAAGAACCAGTCCCAAGCAAGCTTGCTTCCCCTGGCATCCCTTAACCTGTCTGTTCCAGACTTGGTACAGCAGCAGACTAACTCCTTGCCCTCTGTTATCCAGCTTCCTACCCTACAGGACCACCTATCCAGTGCCCAAGCAGCAGGGGAAAGAGCAGATGGATTAATAACCAATCCCCTTGGCAATGCATTTGGTGGACTCTCTAGTAATGACGGCTCCTCACAATCCCTTCTCTTCCCAACAGCGTCTTCTACCCCAGCCTTACTGGCCTTAAACCAACAACTCCTGGCTGCACTCCTCAGTTCTTCATCAGACATTGTTAGTCAACCTCAGGTAGGGTTCACTGTTAAAGGAGGAAGCTACACTAGTTGTGAATCAGTGTAGCCCGGTTAACATGTAAAGCTGCCTTTCCTTGTTTGTGGGTGTCTTGTGTTCTGGAGTTTTCATCAGTGAGTTAATGTTCGTTGGTTTCTGGTCAGCTGGCGTCTGACACCTGTGGAAAACCATCACCGTGCTTAAGAGGATCCAAATCCAACTGAGAATTCCATGGATCCCACCTTCACATGGAAATTCCAGGGATAGGTTGTTGGAATGGAATGCGCGCTCTCCCTCTCTCCCTGGAGGGACGCCCCCTGCTTACCTAATTCTGGAGAGTGTTAGGCACAGCTTGGCAAGAGCCAAGGCTTGGGGACACCAGTGAGTGTTGGGGTAACTGCTGGAGTCTAACCAGCTAAAACTGCGTAGCTGGCCATTGATATTGCTGTCTGGCCAGCTTTCCCAGTTAGAACCACCATAGCTGTTAGGCTTGCAGGGTGGGATGATTCCCTGACCCAGTAACTGGTCTGTTCTTCCAATTCCTGCGGTTGACCCTGTGCTGTCATCAGCAGTGCCCTGTGTATTGTAAATGAAAATGTTACCATGCAATCAATCACCTGAGATTTTGAACAAGGCCGCCTTCGCTAACTTGGGATTTGGTTTCAAAGGAAATGATGGCAGGATTCAAATACTTGTTGGATAATTGGAGCCGGTAGCACAGTGGGTGGCACGAGGAGGGGTAATTTTCGGGGGGCGCTAGGGTGCAAGGAAGAGCATTTATACTTGAGCTTCCCGGGGAAGAGTAAACTGTGTGGCCCTGTGATTTTACTGCTGTTCCTATCCACAGGTCTGTCTTTCAGCCGTCTCCCTAGGCTCTGCCACTACCACCACCACTGCCTCCCCTTCCCTGGAGGGCAATGTGGTCTTGCCGATGGCTGAATCCTTGCTGCCTTTAGCCAATTCTGGAACCACAGGTTTTCCTGCAAAACTCAACACTCTAACACCTCACCTGCTGAACCCTCTACTCGGTGCCAGCTTTGTTGGTGAGTCCCTCCATTGGGTTTAATTCTTACCACTTGCTCCAATTTGCTCCCTTCCTCCCTCGAAGGTTTCTCGACTGCATTGTCCTATCAATGGAAGGGTAGGTAATGTTCCGAGGTCACTAGGGTGCAAGGAAGGGCTGGAAGAGCATTTATACATGAGCTTCCCAGGGAAGAGTAAACTGTGTGGCCCTGTGTGATTTTACTGCTGTTCCTATCCAGGGTTATTATTAGCTTAACGTCCTGGACCCAGCCCGTGCTTCATATACCAGCTCTTGATAGTGAGCATCGAGAGAGTACTGGACGGGGCGGTTGCTCATCATAGTGAGCAGGGTCCTGTCCTCACTCAATTTCCACAAACAAGTATCTTCCAGGGGGTTGGGGGACAAGATTCCTTTGGTAGTAATGTCCTGGCTGAATTCTTTGCCCTTCTCGCACCAATTGTCACCACGTCTCCTGACCTGACGGAGATCAGTGGCTCAGCACCGGGGTTTAATGGAGCCTTGGATCGACTGTACCCGCTCTGTTTTCTAGGTGACGTTTCAGCGTTGAGCCAGCCTCAGCTGCAAGCCATTGTTGGCAGCAATTCAATGTTCCTCCAGAACCAGCAGCCCCTTCTCCAGGCTCTGCAGGGGCCTCTGGGGATCCAGATGTTCCAAAGCCAGCTGCCCATCCCAGGCCCGATCCATCACACTAACCCCTTGTCCTGCCTCTTCCACAATGTCCAGGTAAGTGGGTCCTCCACCTCGCCTTCCTCATCCAGGATCTTCAGCTTAACTGGTCATTATTATAATAATAATATAATAATCCCTGCATCTGATATAGCGCCTTATCATGTCTTCTAGACGTCTCAAAGCGCTTCACAGATACAAGTGAATTGACTATATCTTGTGGGTGAAACTCATGGGGTGCAGATTATACTTTATAGTATATTCTGTGAAGCACTTTGCAGTGACTGTTATGCCAAAACATACCAAAGGGCTTCACAGATAATTACAAGAACAAACGACATTTGCACAGCACCTATCATGTCGGGAGGACGTCCCAATGCGCTGGACAGTCAGGGATTCGGATCAGGAGGGGTGGAGTGCAGGGAGGGTAGGGGTACTGTCAAGTGTAGTGACTATTTTGTAGGCAAATGTGCTCATGAATTAGCACATGAGGTTCTGCAAACAGCCACAAAGTTAGTGACCAGTTTATCTGGAGGATTGTTTGACAGGTCACTGGGACAAATGTGCAGTGATTTATGTAGGCAGAATAGCTGCCATGTTTACCTACGGACAGACATGGCGCTCTGCAGCGCTGTAATCAAATGTAAAGCATTATTTTCATCGAGTTCTCCGGGTTTAATTGATTTTTTTTTCTTTTTGCAGGTGAATGTGGGTCAGACTCTGACCCTCCCTAAACCAGGAAACCTCCCAGACCCATCAGCCCCTCTGCCGGAGACCTCCTTCTCCAGCCTAATAAATTCCCATCATAACTCCGCCAGTCAGCAGTCACTGATGAGCAGCCCCAGCCACCAGCCCCTGCAGCAGAAGGTTCACGTGATGGAGCCAGACAGTGCTTGCATGGATGCTCTATACAACACAGTCCTGGATGCAGTGGGGAAAGGGATTCAGGTGGTGACAAGCACAGCGCCCAACAGCATTTGCTACTCCAGATCTGTCCCAGCCTTTAGCACCACCAGTGCCTTTACAGCCTCTATCTCTGACTCCATGACAAGCAAAGGCGAAGCAATGGCACAGAACGAGAGCGACCCCACAGGAGAATCCCCGCTAGTCCACAGCAGCCACTCAACAGAGCAGACCCCCAGCAATTCCCACGTCAGGCTCTTTGCTGAGCAGGCCGCCAGCACCTGTAGTGCTGAGCAGATCTACTGGGAGCCTGGCTCCTTCTGCCGCCATTTTGTTGAGCAGGTCACCGCTAAAGACACCACGAGCAATATTTGTACGTGCCACAACCATGTACACTGTGAAATCTCAGGGCATCACTGTAGCGTGGAAATATCACTGGTCTCTCGTGCAGAGGCCACAGCAGAGGGGGAGACCCCGGCGGGACGCAGCCCGGCTCCGAGCAGCAGCACAGACATCTACCCTCGGACACCAAGCGCTGCAACGGAGAGGGCGTTATCAGGCGCGCTCTGGACCCCAGTAAGGGAGGGCTGGCAGAGCATTGTGGACAAAGGACGTTTCACTCTGACAGCCTGGAGGAGGGGCGCGGGAAAGGGTTCCCGCCCTGGCCAGACAGGCCAGTGGGACTCAGTGCTGTGCAGCAATCCGGTCAGGAAAGGAGAGAGGAAGAAAAGGTGGGTGTTATAATAATAATAATACTTGTATTTGATACAGCGCCTTATTACATTTTCTGGACGTCTCTCAAAGCGCTCGACAGAATATACTGTGTTGTTATATACAATAAAATAAATACCGGGGTCTTGATTATAACACTCGACAAAAAGCAGGTCCTGAACCAGGTGCAAAGTGGAGATCTCGACTGGGCGGATGTGTAGGAACTGTCTGGAGCCCTGAGGATTGTGGAAAAAGTGCACGTGCGTCTGCATTTCTGTGTGTCGTGCCGTTTTCCGTCGTTTTCCAACGACAACCTGCGTCTCAGAGCGCTGTACCACACACAACAGGAAAGCTAGAGCAGAAAGAATAACGAATGGCTTTTTTTTCTACCATCCTGTTCACTTGAGGCAGGGAGCTCGACCTGAGGGTCTGCAGGCCGCATCCGGCCTGGAAACAGCCGTACTGTGTATCCGAAGTCCAAACCTGGTCTGACCCGCCGGGAAAAACAGCGAGGCAAGTCGGCAGTTAGCACAAGAACCTGTCAATCACTTTCAAACTGGGGAGAGAGACAGAGACACACACAGACAGACAGAGATACAGAGAGAGAGGCAGACGACAGATACAGAGAGAGCGACGCAGAGCCAGAAACCCTGTCACTGGCTCTACTATTCTATGAATTTTTATATCACCTATTTTAAAGTTTTGAATTGTAACTAAAATAATAGTGAAATTAAGCGACACCGGTTTGGTGCGCAATCAAAAATACAGGATTTCTATACGATTCTCTCGGGTTGGGTATTGGAAGGGAACCACAAAGATATGGCCTTATGCGGCCCTCGGGTGTTTCTGAAATCCGGCAACCGCATAAACCATATTTTTGTTTGGAGCTCCCTGACCTAGAGGGATTTGTTACTGTATGAAGCTCCTCTCCCCCCATCCTTCGCCACCGCACCCAGCAGCTCACAGCTAACCCTTTATTTCCTCTTCCAGGTAATACCCGAGAACATGAAGACACTATTGGTGGGGCTCGAAGCCCCACACAGGACCAGAAAAAGAAGTAAGAAGTAAGTAACAGACCCACCCGGTGACTGTCTGACTGCCCTGTCGAATAGCTGTTCAATGCCTCAATGGGTCAGTCTAATACTGAGTCATTCAGAACCAGATTTGATCCCCGATCTGTCCTCAAGTTACCGATTTCAGCCAAGGCTTCAATTAGCCTCAGTGCCCTTGATCTGGGGATGGAAAAGTCAGCCAAAGTTACAGCAGTAAGTCCTGCTGGAGTTTGTTCGTTCCCCCCTCTCCCCCGATATAAATACTTTCTCCGCGTCACCAAACATTTGTATGAGTTGATTGATCCCTTTGAGAAGAGAAAGGTGGTGGTGGTGGGAGAGGGGCGTCATAAATAAATGACCTGTTTGGGGTGGAAGGGATAGACGATTCTTGCATTAAAAGTTGGAAGGAAATCTATTGTTCAGTCTGAACTTTGTCTCTGCAGCACTCCGAAGATGAACAGCAATCTGGAAGTTGCTTTGCAAGAAGCCATGATGGAACTAGACCAAATAACAGCCAACGTAAGTGCATTAAACAGGGAGGTGGGGGTCAAGGTTGGGGAAGGAAGGGTCACACAAGGTTGGGGAGCAAGTGAGCTCCCTGGGGAGACTGGAAGCACAAAGTGTTGATTCTTTCAAGAATAAATTAGATTTCTGTTAGGAAATAATATCTCAGGATACAGCGTAATAGTTTGGGACATGACATGTGTAAGCAACTGCCAGGATGGTGGAAGGAAGGCGAACTGGATGGACTTTGGTCTTCATTCGCCGGCGAATTCTTATGTGACTGTGAAGAAAAACTTAAGATATGTGGGGCAGAAAATAGGCTGCAGAAATTTGGGTGGGTTGGGAGTTCGAGGCCCAGGAAGGAGACAAACATTGTGATCACGCTTGGGATTATTTTTTTCTCTCCCTTTTTACTGTCAGGCTGACCAGCCAACTCCAAAAGAAAAAACAAGGAAGCCAATGAAAAGCAAACGAAGGAAAATTGTCCGGTAGCCCTCGCCTCGCCGCAAGCAACCAACCCTTAAGGCCATCGACGGGTCCTGTTGGCTTCCTTAGGAAGTCCATTTGGGACTCAGTTTATAAAGGTTTTTTTAATTTTTTTTAAAAAAATAAATAAAAAGAGACTCTTCCGAGGGAGGGGCCGGAGGGTGGAGCGACGTCGTGGTCAGTCCCTGCTGGGCAGGAGCAGCGCGACGTCTTGAGCCGCTGGAGGCAAGTCCGGTACCAACCTCCGGCGGTTCTGGCTTCGTGAAGAGCAGTAGCACCATCGTTTGGAAGCGCGTCCTTACTGCCGGCAATAACTTCACTTGAGCAATAAGTGAGGTACAGTGTGTAACCTGTGATTAAACAAACGGGCCCTTCTTATTTTGCGAAGCGCTCGTTTTTTTTCCCCGTCCCCTTCGTCCAAAACCAACCAGTTCCCACTTGAAGGGATCTGGATCTGCACTTGAATTTACCCCTCTCTCTCCCCCTCACCCCTCTCTCCCTCTCTCCCTCCCCCCCCCCCTCCACCCAGTCCGACTCCACAGCTGTGAACTGTGGTGTTTCTGTTGTGTATAATCTGCCCAAAGTATTTGAATACTTAATATAATTAAATAGAATGAAATACTGTACTGTAATTTCTGGAAACAAGAACTCCCTAACCCGGCTGTATTTACAAGCTCCACTTTTTCGTATGTAGTTTAAAAAAAAAACAAAAAGCAAAATGTTGTTTTGCGTCAAATGTGTCCACGAGTGTCTGTGCGGAATACCAATCTCACTGCTGGGTGGCCCGACACAATCTCCCCGCCTGGGGATAGTCAGGAGTGAGAGTGAAAGAAGACGCGAAAAGAACTAAATTTTGATGCGGACTTCGCACTGAAATGACTCCTGGAGGATGCAGGTCCACGCACAGGTATTTTCTTTCGCAAGTGTCTCTGAGCCGACCTCGCCTGTGGCTGCTCGTTTTCACTGAGGACCTGATGTATTAGAAAGGCTCAGCGGGGAAATGTCGCCACCCAACCTAATCCGAGGCAAAATCTCTCTTACAGTTTGTATTGCAGTGCAGTTTCACATTTGGCAAAGATAAAAGTCAGTGAAGAACTGACTTACCTGCAGGCAAACAGCATCCATTTTGCACGGAACAAGAACGCACCTACAAACCATGAGGGGAACGGCCAAATCTCCTGAGGGTTTCTAGGCCGGGGAGGGATCAATCAGTAGTAACATTCACCTGAAGAACAATTTTGAGGTTTTTTGAAAATATGTGGGGTTAAAAAGATAGTAAAATGGTGGAGCATTCGGTCTGAATGGGATCACAGTGTAACCTTTAATCCTACAGTGAGAGAAAAGTCACTTTTCATTTTCCCTGATCCTTGTGAGTAGTTTGCCTCTGGCCATTTGGATGGAGCAATGATGAGGGACTGGATGTGAGCATCTCTGGTTTAACCGGACGTCAGCTCAACATCAACATGCCTAACACGTTCACTTGACACTGATTTATGGGACGGGGGGGTGGTGGGGGGGGGGAAGGAACGGTTCAAAAATGTTTTTAAGAAAAACAATTAAGGTATAATCGAGATTTATTAAGTCACTTAAATTGTGTTAAGCGCTCACTGGCATCTGCAGTGCACACACAACTGCTTTAGTGTTCCGGCTTAACAGTGATCTCCAGTTCACTGATTTGTTTTTGCCTTACCCTGGTCGGTCAGTGCATTGGCAAATTTACCACATTGCATCCATAAATATTTACGACAAAGGCAAATATATAACTCATATACACAACCGATCGACTGAATAATGCACACACACTAAAACACAGATTTCACCACAAGTTTCCTTCTATTATCCGGTAACCAGATCAGTCCACGTCCTCACCTGGGGCTGTCTAAGGTTTGCAGTGGCACTGTAGTCAGTCTCTGCTTCATCAGCAGTAAACCAAGGAATCCTATTGATCATAATGAAGGATCGATTCAATCTGTGATTAGTTACATTACGTGACACGATGCAATAACCCTATAGACAGAGAGTTTCTAAATAGGGAAGTAGTGACATCCCCACATTGCCTGTATGACACGGCCTCAAGGATAAACCACTATTTTGTGTAGAATAATAATAAGCCTCGCATTTGATGTAGGTCGTTGAGGCGTCTCAAAACACTTTGAATGATATACTATAAAGTGAATTGACTATATTTTGTGGGAAAAACGCAGCTGCAAATTGTGCACAGCGGCGTCCCCCACAAACAGCCGTGGATTGAATGATCAAATTATTATTTTCTATTTATTTTTTCAAAAGGGTTGTTAGCCCCGGAAATGCGATCTGCCCATCGACTAAAAAAAACAGGTTCCTACTTCCTGCTGCGTAAACAGAGGCGTATGGAGTGAGGAAGCTTACCTAAGGTCTCACCCTGCAAGGGAATCGGTCCCGGGTCTTCTCGCTTGCGGGGCGAGCACTCCAACCAATATGCTACAAGACTCTTTTACACCTTTTGCAGTAATGTCCAGCACCACACAATTTTGCCATTACCACGTACTGCATCTTATTAGACGAGTTCAACATTTACCGTACCTGAAAGCCTATCGCCCTACAGAATTTGTGATCGCTGCTGTGTTATACACACACACAGACACAACACGTCAGCGTTAAGACCAGTTCGGAGTTTTACACATGCGTTGCTTTCAGTAACGGAGTTTTGCTGTAAATCCCAAGGACGCTGGGATTAAATTAAAACAAAATGAAGATTAAGACAAGTATGTTCTTTGATAGAGCACTTATTCACAACTGCGCTTTATGAATCTGTCATGAAGAAACAGTAAATACAAGGAAGGTCCCGCGGCAGAGGGATCTACTCTGGCCTGAGCACTTACTCGGCCTCCTGTCATTGCTTTTAGTGCGGAAGGATTACTCGACACTTTGCACCAAATGTTGAATCTGCCTAACCATGTCCACTGTTCATCTTCACTGTGACTGTGGCTCCTGAAAGATGCACATGATGTCCACCTCTACACACACACACACACACACACACCACAGCTCACATCAAGAGGCACACTATGTCAATGCACTTATAATAATCCTTGCATTTGATACTGTAAAGTGAATTGACTGCATATTTTGGGGGTGAAACGCAGCAGCCAATTGAGCCCAGCAGTGTCCCGCAAACAGTCATGGATTGAGTGACCAAATTATTATGTAAAATCACGATATAAGATTACATTCTCTTTAAAAGCAATTTCCCAGCCCTAACACTAAATTAGCAGCTTGTTCGCTCAGGGACGCTATCCTGGGTGAGGGGCACTATTTAAACGCAAGTTGCTGTTGTTCGTTTGGCAGAGGAAAGGGTAAGACTTTAACAGATATGAATCCACAGCAATAATGTGAAGTTTCAACTTGGGGTTTCAGCCCTATTATTGCATCAAGTGAGTGAATGGGGTTATTAAAAATATAAAACAAAATGAGTAATAATCTTGATCGTTCTTTAAAAAAAGTCCCATCATTTATTCTACCTCAGGGTCACCGCAGACACAAGAAACAATAAACAAGGCAAGAGAGTGGATCCTCTTTGTAGGTAGGAGCTGATTAACTCCAAATTGTCCTCCCCCGCTTCGCTCGCTGTGTCCTGGTAACACATTCGCTGAACCCAAGGAAGAGTTTACATCCTCAGTGGTTCCTGAGGGAAAGGCTTTGCTCCTCACTGACAAGATCACAGACAGTGGAAGACCTTCAGTCGGTTTAAGTGATAGGAACCTTTACTCAAGAATAACCTCTGGATCTCAGAAAGGGGAGAGGTTTATCCAATAACTTTCAGAGACCAATGCTACCAGTAGAAAAGGCAACAAACAAAGGCCTTCTGTTAGCAGGATATTTACCTCCCCGTCCAACTCTCTTTCAGTGGTTAGCATATTCATATCTGCGGTGAGGTTTACTGTAGCGTGCTCATGCACCAACCTGTTTGTAGTTCTGGATTTAAACTTGTCCATCAATCCGGATATTTCTAAAAAAATATAGGAAAGCCACACGGTTTTCTCAGCTGTTCTGGACAATTCCACAATTTAGAGGAAGCATTAACAGTGAAATTAAATGTGAGCTGCGGTTCAAAATGATATCAATGTCTGCTAGTGCAGTACAGTCAAAGACTGAACGTTAGCTACCAGCCTTTCCTCCAGGCTTTGATAAGAGGCTGTTACACTCACGAAACTCTAGCTTGTAATGGAGGTTATATCACAGGTGCTTCCCTGCTTTTCCTGCTGATGCCCGAGGTGACACTCATCGTGAGTGAGTGAACGAGTGCAACTCCACGGTTTCTATCTGAAAGTGGTTTTCCAAACCAAACTTTTACCAAAAATTAGAAACAAAAGTGCCATTGAAGCCCTGCCCACTGCAGGTACCGATCAGAATTGAGGAACTTCAAAAAGAGCAGAGTTTATCAAGGAATGTGAACCTGAAGCATTTATACAATAGTTCTCCTGTTACGAGGCTGCCTTTGGCAGGAGGCATGCTATAGAGAAAGTACTTGATAGAGTTTCTAAAGCAGAAAAAAAAAACAAGCAAATAACGGGCACAATACAGTGAGGCCAATAGTAGATGAGGGTGTTTTATGCAGTGCAGTGGGGAGTGAAAGAACAAGAATTGCTAAAGGATCATTATAGTGAAGGGATATTATACGCTTTCCCTATTGAAACGGTCTAAATGTACGTACAGTTCACTTATACCAGCTCATGGAAGGGGCAGCTGTATTAAGAAATCTAAAACTACTGATTCCCACTACTTTCAGGAGTCCGTATTATGCACTTAAAGGGGTAATCTGTGCTTTGCATGGTTGGGTTAAAGCTGCTAAAAGTCTGTTTAAGGGGCTTTAAACATTCAGTTAATCAAAACAGTGAACGCTGCTCTGACAGACAAACGGAATAGTAAATAGTAAAGCTGGACGGAAAAACCCACGGCAAAGAATAAAGAGGTGGGGACTGTAGAGAAGCAAGCAGTGAGGACAAGGTGTATGTAGTTTATTGGGCTACGTGAAATGGGGAAGAGAAGAGGATTTAGCACTTATTTTTTTCCAATCGACCACAGCCCATTAGTTAAATAGTTAGTTAGTTAGTTATTGTGTTCTCCACCCAAATGCATCACTGGCCAACACAAGCAACCCCAAGCAAGCTGCTGGCATTTATTTGGTAATGGTCTTCATTCGAGCTTCGATGCCAACAAAGTTGCCCTCAATCACCGACAGGTTCTCCTTCATGGTGTTCTGAACCTGTAATAAAGATGGAGATGGGTTGACTGGAGAGGCAGTAATGAGCGCGTGTAAAGACACAATGTGTAAAGCGTGTATAAATACACTTAAATTAAACTGCGCCATTGTAACTCATCAGCACTACTCGATTCCCAAGATCAGGGAATTAGAGAATTCTACAGCACAGAAGGAGGCCAATCAGCCCATCAAGTCTTTTTTGGCTCTCTGAAAAGAGTCCCACTTTCCTGCTCTTTCCCCAAACCAACCTGCTGAATGACACCTGCGGGGTTAAGAAGCTTTTATTGGAAACTGGAATTAAGACTACTGTTACACCCAGAACTCAGGGCCTTTAAACACCCAGGTCGCACACAAAACACACAGTCACTCCACTTTACAATATATAATCTGTGCAGCGCTTTGACATGATAAGGGGCTATATACATAAATCCACTACTGAATTCAATCGGAGCGTCATGAAATGGAGGAGATGTTGGTGCAGTAATTACGTTACATCCCTAGATGCTTTTTCTGCAGCCGAAATAGCAACATTAGTGCTGCCTCAGTCTTATTGTATTACACCTTAAGGCTTTCCAATTGGCAAATACACTAAACAGGGGAACTGAACGTGGCAACAGCCACCTGTCTGCCTGTGTGTGCGTGGTGTGTGTGTGTGTGTGAAGGAAATACTGTACCTGGCTCAGTAAACTTGTGTTTTCCTTCAGCGTCCCTGTGATCATCTGCTGTGTGGAATCCAGGTGGGTCAGCAGCTGGCCAAACTGCATGGCTAGAACAGAATGAAACACGTCAGGCAGGTCACCAGCAGCACACCCTCCATGCTGACATATCTGTCCCGAGAATCTGTTCCCTTTGGGAAGAGCGAGGACCGTATTCAAAAGAATGTTTTTGTTTGTTTTTGTTTAAAATGGTTCAACCATTTAACACACGATTGTGCAGTCTGGTTTGTTAAAAATGTGCCGCTTGCAGAAAACGTAACTCGGAATGCATTACAAGGCAGCAGAACACTGAGGAGTAAAAACAGAAGTCGCTGGGAGCGCTCAGCAGGTCAGGCAGCGTCTACGGAGAGAGGAAAGTGAGTTCAGGTTTCAGATCACCGACAAAACGATTTTGTGTCACTTTCACTCTGATCACCCTGGGGCTGTCTGCGAAGGGGGAGCGGAAATTCCTCTCGCAATGAATCGAGCAGTTTGTGATTCACCTTAAACAAAAAAGGAGGGGGTCGGGGGCTGGGAGTGGGGGCGTGGGGGGGGGGGGGGAGGAGAGAGAGAAAGGCAATCCTACCTTGCTCATGGAGTTCCTTTACAGCAACTAGCCGCTGGACAACCTGTGGCAGGGTGGTGGCCATGGCATCCCATTTCTGCACCAGCTCATACAGCTGAGCTACCTGCAGACAACAAGAGGGAGTGAGGTTAGGTCGGGGTATCGAGGGATATGAGGCAAAGGAGGGCAATTGGAGTTGACATACAGATCAGCCATGATCTAACTAGAATGGCGGAACAAGCTAAAGGGGCTGAATGGCCTCCTCCTGTTCCTATGTTCCAAATAGCCTGTTTAGGTGAATGTTAAAAGATCTTGCAACACCACTAAGAAGAGAGAAAGGAGTTTCAACAATCCTCCAGATGAATTCGATATTATTTATGACAGATTGTGGGACACTACCGTGTGCAAAAATGGCTCTTGTGTGGGTGCCTACACATACACAGTCACTGCACTTGACAATAATTGCTTGTGAAACCATTTGATGTTATAGGGTCTGTATGAAGCTCAGGGATTATTCTTCCACACTATACTGTGATCCACAAGCTTGGACATGAGATGGTATTAAAGCTAAACTCAATGGCGCAGCATTTCAGAGCGCGTGGATACAGAGATCGTTGGTAGATATAAGATATAGGCGCGACTGACCTTGCTCTGAGTCTCCGCATCTTCACTGGCTGTTTTGTGCTTGGCGATCTCGTTCAGCTTCCCCAGGACACTCTTAAGAGGGCGAAAGAATCATTTCAGATGTCATTGGGGGAGGCATTGAACAGCTGTCACAGGGACTGGAGGCACAACACTACTCATGGTTTTAAGCTCAAGGCCATTGTCTTAACATTTAAAATTGTGCAGAATGTTAAAAACTCCTAACTTTGAAGCCCAGTTTTCACGGGTAAAAATAACTGGTTTCCAACTTAATACTAAAATTTAAGAATTTCCCAAATGTTCCCCTTTCTTACTATTCCCGAGTTACCCACAGACACGGTCTCTCATTTTCCACGGAGCATTTCTCAACCAGAGCCTCTGTGGTTTCTCTTCTTTCATCAGAGCCCGTTTCCCAGCAACTGAAGAGCTGGTCAGAGCGTGAGAGTGAGAGCGACTGGAATTTGAACAGTGGTAGTTCAGCTTCTTCCTCCCGTGTCACTGAAGAACTTACCTGTAGTCTTGCTTCAACCTGGTCAAGCGTTGCTGAATCCAAGGTGCTCACTTTAGCCTGAAGAATCTCAATGGTTCCCTATGGGGAAGGGGGAAAAGAGACTGAATTTTACAACCAGTTCCATGCTGACAATCACTTTTGTCTCTACAGTGATATCCCCAGCACCTTGCGACATCCTCCTGACGTGAAAGGTGCTTTATAAATGTATATTTGCACTGTATTGTATCCCTTCCTTCAAGCTGATTCATGGTTCTACAAGAGGTGGCTGCACTACAGCACCTCACCTCAGTGACCAATTGTCACGTGGAGCAATGATCATTACTGGGCTGTGAGTATTCACAGCTGAGCTGGACTGAACCGCACTTCACATGTTCACAGACATAACCTTTCAGCCGAGGTCTCTCGATAGCAATCAGGTTGCTACCAGAAAAGTGTTCGTGCCGGGAGCACAATACATGACATTTGTGAGGGTCTCAGGAAAAGATCGCTGAGAGTGACTGACGTGGGGATTGGCACCGAGCAGGAGGAGAGTCTTTTGGCTGGAACTGCCAAACATCTGCTCTACAGAAACACATTTCAATGTTCCATTAAATTCCTCCCAGGACTGAGAACGGTCAGCAGACTAAGTTCCAGGCTGGTTGGTCGAGGTTGAACCTCTCTTCCTTCCCTCCCCTCAAAAAAAACAAGAAAACAGATAAGTACAGGCGAATGCTGATAAGCACAGATGACTTGTTTCCTTGCTGTAACATTCAATGTAGGTAATTCTACACAATGAAAAACTGGTGACGCGAGTCGTAAGCGTACGAGATAAACAAACACTCTGATTAAGTTCAGACTCATGACTCAAGGGATCTTAAACCATCTCTCTGTAAAAAGATAACAGCAGACTAAAGAGGGAGATGCTTACCATTAGACATGAGCCCTGCAATCCGACAGTAAGTGGGTTCTACAGGAAGGAAAAACAAAGCATCACAAGATAAATGTAATGATTAAAACAAGGAATGAATTTCTGAGCTCCCTAGAAGCTAACCTGTGCCAGTAACATCCCAAACATAATGATGACCAATTCATCATTCTTTGCTGAATTCAGATGAAGGAAAAATTTTAGTCAGAATACCAGGCAAAGCTTCGCTCATCTTCCAACAAGCAATTCAAACATTCGGCTGAACCACCAGAAAAGGCAGGAAAGAAACTAAATTTTTAAATCCAAAATATGGTAAAACTCACATGAACAGGATTTGTAATCGTTTAAATGGTACCTCTGTCCAAATCCCATTCAAGAGTTTATATTCTATGTAAGTTTGACTTAACTCAAGACTTTGCATACGTCATATTAAATGTATGGTCCCACGACTTATATGAGCTTTACTGTAGATTCAGTTATTTGCATCGTCAATTCACTGTGCAAACGAGTTATGCCTGACCCAGCATTGCAAAGAACTTCTTTCACTTAAACGGATACACGAGCTTTACATCAATACATTGGATTACTCCTGTTACAGAGTTAATTCCTCAGAATTGTCACACCAGATTATGTATCACAAAGAGAGTGAAAAGGTACAACTGCTGCTGCTCTGTTATCCCAGGTTTCAGGCTGTGTGAGAGCTGAGGGTTTATGTGGAATTTCTGTACAGTGATGATTCTGCATTGCAACCATCATCTGGTGACTGAAGAGCAAGAAAATTAAACAGACGGTTGTGGTGGGTGGAAATCATTTCTAAATTGGTGGGTAGCAACTGAATAATGGCGATGCTTGGTAATCATTCAATTCAAATCCAATCCTGGATTGCCAGCGAGCGAGGGAGAATGGCAATGAGTCAGCAACGCAGGCCACCCCACGATTTATGCACGCGTAACATCTGGACTGTGGAATCACTAGTGGGTCCTGCCTGCTTTATTCACGTACTGGCTTCTGTGTTGTTCTAGAAGCACCCAAGTTTCCTGAATTAAGTAATAATATTAATAGTAATAATAATCCTTGTATTTGATATAGCACCTTGTCGAGACGTATCAAAGCGTTTCACAGGATAGCACAAAGCCCAAAAGTGCATCGGAATTGGCCGGTCCTTGTATCACATGTTATGCTACATTTGCCTGCTGTGCACATATTCACATATCTTGGATGCATGAACCCTCCTGCCCCTAAAGAGCAAAGCAAGGTGGGAACTGCAGCAATATTTCTTGCATCCATTCGTCTCCAGGAGTTAAATAGCACACAGAGTGTTTTGAGCCTGTGTCCAACAGCAGAATAACTGATTGCAGTGTTGCAGCATCTTATATGCACGCAGGAGCAAGAGTCGTGTGGAACATCCTAAAGGGATGTAGCTCCTCACAATTTTCCCTGTCACAAAACATGAGGAACCAGTAAAGGTGATTGATTGAATGAAAGGGAAGGCAAAAGGCTTTCTAATCCCCAGCACGGACATCAGGCAATTTGATAAGCATAAATCTACACATTAGTTGACAGAAGCCAGGCTTGCACGGTGCCTCTACCTGTTTATCAGAGGATGTGCCCACAGCTACCTCCAGCTCTGACAGGCGTTTCTCCAGCTCTGCCACCTGTAAGAAAAAAAGTTAAAAACCATTGATTTGTTAATTTGGCTTTCCCCGGCTCCAGAGAAAAATATTGAATCAAATTTGAAAAAAAAAAAAAACACATGCTTGAGATTTTCCATAAACAAGCAAGTCCTCGCTGCAGCAGATGTTGTGACTAGTATAGAACGAGCTGTGTCTGCTTGGCGATGCTGGTAGTTTTTACTCAGTAAACACTCTACCCTTGAGAAGCTTCTGTGAACGTGACCACCACTCGCTCTGTACATGACAAAACGTCTGACTTCGTCAACCTCATCCTTACCTTCGCCGCCTGAGTAAACTTGTGCTGCTCCGGTCGATAGTATAACTCGTAAGTGATGGCATTTCCATCAGTTCCTTTGCCGGGGCTTTTGTCCACAGTAGGGCGTCCCTTTCCGCTCTTTGTGACGTCCAGTTGGGCAAGCAGTCGCCTGCACACAGATCAGAAAGAATAATTAGCACACACTGATGTATGATACCATTACATTTTGCGACAGAATTCATATTTCAGGTGTAATGCACTGTCACTCTAATGTGTATAATTTGGAGGTGCTGACAGGCTAGATTGGCTGTCGCATTTGCTTTCATAACGGCATCCTCCCTCCATTCATTACACATTTCTTGTAGATGCATTTCCAAATCACCCTTATTTGTTCGAGTCACTAGCTTGGGCACTGTCAGCCTTCAGTGGACGTGAAGGTTTTCCTTTAACGTTGCAGAAAACATTTTCAAAATTGAGACCGAATTTAAGAATGTTCCGAAACACCGCACAAACCCAAGACTTTAAGACAGACGGTGGTCTTGAGCCGAAAGCCATGAGAGATTTTCAGCCTCTGACATTGAAGGTTGAGGGGAGAGCGGTCAGGAAAAGGGCATGCTCGCAGGGAACCATTCAGGCCGTGAAGCACAAGAAACCTCACGTAGCGTGATGCCATTTGGAACTCCATCTCACAGTCCCTCCGCCTTGACCCCTCCCTTGCCTCGTTCAAGTCCTGTCTCAAGACGTTTCTCTTTGACCGCAGCTCCAACCCCTACCTACCCTCCACCTATCTTGATCCCAAGCCCCAGCTCAGGTGCAAATCCTCTAACTGTCCAGCGCCTTGGGACTTTCTTCTAACGTGAAAGGCGCTGTGTAAATGTAATTTGTTGCTGTTGGCATCTCTTACTTGGCCAGCGCGCCCTCAGGATCGGTCAAGTCGATGGCCGCATCAGGTCCCAGGACCTTCTCCAGCTGTAGTGTTATCAAGTGCTGCTTCAGGGTTGAAACTTGGTTGGCCAAAGCAACCGGGGTCAACTTCTCTTCAGCAGAGGAATCCTTCACTGTACTCTAAGAGGGAAAGCAAGGTCGTCAGCGAGTACTTTTTTAAAAAAAAGTGGCCTCTGGGGAAAGGAACAGGATTTTTAAACTGATTAATATCAAGGCAATATAATACTCCCCGTCCCACCAATGTGGCACTTCCCGTCAATAGGCCTACACAGCAGAACTCAAAATGAACTCCACTGTGATGAATCTGCCAGGTTTCCAGTAGAAATCACCTGGACCTTTTACAACCAGACAAGATCTCCCAGTCAGTCTGCATGGACTAGACTCTAAATCTTTCACTCCCACCTCTCACTGCACAGCTGAAAGGGCCACATTTTCATTGTATTTTCCAGGCTACAGTGTGTTCACAAAGTCCTGTTAGCCCTATGTTTTTTAATCTTACGATGAATTTTCTATTTTCTGTTGCAGGTGAGTGGAGTGTAAGAATGTCTGCTATCAGTAAGTTCCACACATTTCAGTTGTTGGTCAGTGCACTGTAGAAAAAAAATACGTGTGGGTGGGTGGGCGTAAGTAAGACTTTGTGAACACACTGTACATCAGGTGCTGCTCAAGAACCAAGCTCAGTGAATATACATACCCAACCTGCGATGGAATGAGGGATCACAATGAATCCAAGGTGCAGTTCTCTGCTGCCAACCACAGTTGAGGCAGAGTCCATACATTTATTTGAAAGGGAATTACACCAATGTTTGAAAAAGCTGAGGATTATTAAAGGGTCCGGGAAACAGGATTAGATGAAGCGATTCATGTAGAGAAAAACAGCAGCGTGGATCTGACATGTTGAATGGCCTGTTTCTTTGTCGTAAGATTCTATGATTTATTATTATCTATGAATTTCTGAGTGGATAAGCACTCTGGGAAGCTACCCTTCATGAGGGGTGCTATATAAATGCAAGTCGCTGTTATTGTAGTCAACGGTTACAGTATCAATACTATTAAGTGTGAAAGAGTATTAAAATAAATCTGTGAGATGAAACACTATCCCAGGCAAAACCATCATTTATTTTATCAATCTACAAACACGTAACAGAAATTTGGTTTGGTTTTGGGCTGCAATTTTTCAATCAAGGCTTTCAAATAAGCCATGAAATACAGTACTGCTCTCTGTGCTGCCTCATCAGCCTTCACCACAACTGGCTGACTGGCTGACAAAAGACACAGGACACCATATGCGAATGTGAATACCAGTGCAGAATATTGATAGGGAGCGCAATGCTCTAAAGTACGGTGCTTTCAAATCAAAGAACTCATTCGCATGCAATTTAAAAATATATATATATATTGTTGATATGACAAATAATTTCTCCTCCTGCGTTCTACTGTAAGATCATGTCTGCACCTACAGCAGGGCTTTGTGCGAAAGGCATCACAATGGTGGTTCTTCCCACAAGCTGGAGTTTATGATTAACCCCGCCAGGCGTGAAGCAGATTGCTCCCTGGGTTACTGCTTTGTGGAGCATGATTTATCGGTCTTGTTTCATATCATTTTGCACTTCTACCCATATACAACCCAGAAATAGTTATTATTGCACAACCTCCTCCAGGTACTGTCAGAGGCAAGGCTCCTGTGCTGACTCAGCTCCTTTATACAGCATGTTTAGATGTGAATAAAAACATTAATCGTGCCATCTACAGCTAGGGAGATTTTTTAAAAAAATAAAAACTGCTCCTCCCACAAATTCCTGCTCGCCTCTGCTAATTGATCAAAGTATGATTTATTTAGTCTTGTTAACAGCGCTCAGTCCCATTTACATCTTCTCGTCAATAAATATAAAGCCAATATTGCATCCCGTTAAATCTATCTTACTGACCAGCGCTGAGCAGTTAAAAGATTCGCACATAGATTCCTGAAAAAAAATTATATTTGCCAAGCGTATGTCGGATGCACAAGGGGAAGATGCCCACACACTGAATCCTGCCACAAACAACATCTGGAGTTTATCAGGCTTTACCGACAAATCACTAAAATTAGAGAAATAAACAGAAAATAAACCGCCATCTGCTGCCAAACTGTGAGATTCAAAGAATTAATTAAATCTAAGGACGAACCACAGCGAACGACGCATCAGCAAGTCAACAGAGCAACTGCAGCTATTTATTTACCCGCCATTTTGCATCCCAGCTTCTCTGCGCAATGATAGAATTACATCGCCAACGGCAATCATAGTTAGAGCAATACAGAACAATTCAAGGATGAAGGTTTATTACTTCAATTATAGCCCAAAAATAGAAAGTTATGTTGACGGATTGTAATTTTCAAATGGAGGGGGAGGGGTGGAGAGAAGGGAAGAAAGCTGGCTGGGTTTACCCTCTCGGTCTATCGTCAAAGGGTCACTCAGTCGTCAGTTGTGAATTATGAGGCTTCACTGCTAGAGCAGTTTATAAGATGATAGATTTGCTCTCCCTTCAGGAGCTAAATTTCAAGCATCCGAAAAGTAGATGAACATCGGTGACTCATACAAAGCAAGGAGTGGGTAATCTAATCAATCAGTTTGGCAAAGGAATTGATACTTAGAAGGAACAGGGCCGTTCAGCCCGTCAAGGCTGTTCCCCCAATTTATTAGATCAAGGCAGATCTTTTAATCCATTTCTCCCTTTTCTCCATACCCATTAATACCTTTTTTTTCTAAGGTAACTGTCTCCCTTTTAATCATGCCAATAGATCCTGCTTGTATTCCTTCTGGGGTAATGCGATCTGCATTCTCACAATCTTCTGTGTGAAGAAATGTTTTGTGATTTCACTTCTAACTGTGCATTATGAGGCGCTATCCCTGGTGAAGGGCGCTATATAAATGCAAGTTGTTGTGTAACAAGGCAAAATCTTTTTAAATACCAGACAGTGAGCAAAATTTGCAATCTCTGCTCTGGTTATGTTTAATTAGCATTTTTCCCACTTCTCTCTTCACCCCCTTTCTTCAAATCCATATTTCATATTTCTATTCACAGTTGAACTAAATCATATGAAGCTATAATGAAACGAATGTGAGGAATCTCTCTCTCACCCTGGATCCACCGTTAAGTTGGTTTTATAAATAATTCTCATCCTAGATTAATAATAGGGAGAAATTGTTTTCACTGGCAGGTGGGTCGATAACCGGAGGACATAGATTCCAGATAATTGGCAAAAGAACAAGAGGGGAGATGAGATTTTTTTTTTTTTAAACAGACTTGTCAAGGTCTGTGGAAACACTTTCGATAACAGCTTTCAAAAGGGAATTGGATAGGTACTTGAAAAGGAAAATCTTGCAAGGATATGGGGAAAGAGCGGGGGAGTGGGATTGATTGGGTAGCTCTTCAAAAGAGCTGGCACAGGCATAATGGGCCAAAATGCCTCCTTTGCTGTAATATTCTATAATTCTATTCCTCTCAAATCTTTCTCTCCCACACCGCCTGCAGAGATTCCCCACCCGCTGCCAGGGTCAAGACAAAAGAATGTTGCATGTGAAAACTCTCCCTCCTATTTCCTAAATTCTTTCAAAAGAAAATTAGAAAGATTTCTTTTAGGAAATAAATTCTTGGGATACTGTGTACAGTTTGGGACATCACATGTGCAAGCGACTGCCAGGATAGTGGAAGGCGAATTTCTTTGCAAGGAAGGTGATCTTCGTTCGTCTAGCAATCCTTAAGTTCTTATGTATTGTTCTAGGAAACATCTCCGTGAGCCCAACATTAGAGCAAGACTTGTAAAACACTTCCCAGGTTTGGCACAACAGATTCCAGCTTAAGCTGTTCTTCCTAAACGCTGCTCTAGTCCTGAATATCAAGCAGAAGCTTGGGGCTGTAAGATTACTGAATGTCTTATATCAGGAATGCTGGAGAAATGAGAAACATATATTTAGACCACAAGAATGGTTGTTGATCCTCAAACCCTCATTTCCATGATCCATTCTGCTGAATAGGTTAAAGCACTTTGGCACGAGTCTTTCAGTGCCTGCAGCTCCCCAGACACACTGCGTCTAATGATTGGTGATACACACATTCCTAGGTCAGAGACTTGACGGAATTTCAAATAAATAAAATATGAGCCAACAGCAAAAAGGATACTCCAGGACAAATGAAAAATCCAGGACTGATATGAAGAATCCAACCACAAGCCCTTTTTAAAAAAATAATTGTTTTCAGCGTAGATCTTAGCAGTCATCGTGCATCTCAGGTATCAGCACTTAGTAAGTTACAGCAAGCAGCTGACATCATTCAACTCTGTTAGGAAAAATGTCTAGTCAATATTTTAACCCTAACCCAACCCCGATACTTGGTTTGAATACTTTGCTACGGATATGTAGGAAAGATATGTAGTGCACTTGACATAAAAACATAAGAATTGCTAGACAAAAGAAGACCAAGAAGAAGTTTGCCTTCCACCATCCTGGCAGTCGCATGCACAAGTCACGTCCCAAACTATATAATGTATTCCACGTTATTATTTCCTAAAAGAAATCTATCTAATTTGCTTTTGAAAGAATCAACATTTTCTGCTTCCACTGTCTGTCTCCCTAGGGAATCTGTTCCATACAATTACTGCATTTGGTGAAAAGGGAAGGAACACTGACGGCAGAAGATATTTAAACAGCTACTTTCAAACACAAAATAGATTTTAAAAAAAATCAATGTGAAGCTCTTACAATTTTACCAGAAAGCATATGGAATAATTTTCACTCACGCCAAGTCACCATAATTCAAACTGCTTCTACATCACTCAGGATTTAGAAAGCTTTCACAAGCTCTCTCAATTGTGATAAATCACCATCCCCACATAAAATAATCCAACCTCTCAGTCTATCATAATTCAAAAATATCAACAATCTCTATACATAGCTCATCAAAATGCTCCTGCTTCTGGGAAGTATTCCAAGTGGGTTTGAATGCCCGCCATCTCTCTCGCAAAAATGTCACTGCTGCAAATGTCAAATGTCAGATCCATAAGTAAAGACGATGGCTGCTTTTAGCAGTGATATTCATCATTTCTGACTCAAATTATTTGAGAAAAAACAAAAGAGCTCTGGCCAAACTGAAAAGTTGTTCAGATGTAAAAAGGGAGAAGTGCATTGGCTTGACTTGATAATTCCCAATGTTTTTTATTCCCCCAATCAATTTGAATCTATACAAATGACCTATTACATAAACAAGCTATTTATACAATACAACATTTGTAAAGCGTCTTTCGCATCAGGAGGACGGCCCAAGGTGCTGAACAGTCAGGGATTAGGACCCGAGAGGGGTTTATCAGGGAGGATGGAGGGCAGGGAGGGTGGCCGAAGGCATAGTTGAAGAGACGTGCCTTGAAGGAGGAAATGGAGGGAGCGAGGCGAAGGGAATACGGGAGTTCCAGAGGGTGGGGACAGATAGGCTGGAGACCCGACCGCCCATGGTGGGGCGCCAGGCAGGGGATATGGAGCAAGCCGGAGCCTGCTGAGCAGAGGGAGCGGACAGGTTGATAAGGATTTAGGAAGTCGAAGAGGTAGGAGCGGGAAGGCCATAGAGAGTCTTGAAGGTGAGGACGAGAATTTTGAACTCGATCCTTTGAGGGATGGGGAGCCAGTGGAGCCGAGCGAGGGTGGGTGTGATGGGGTCACGGAGCCTGGTTATGGATTCTTATCAACTAAGGTTTTGGTTGTGCATTCCACATCCTAACTCTCCCGTGTCACAAAAATACTCTCCTCACCTCTCCTTTTGTTTCTTTGTTAATCATCTTAAATTGATCTAATAACAATCCTTGCAATTGATACAGTGCCATATCACATTGTTCAGATGTCTCAAAGCGCTTCACAGAATATATTGTAAAGTGCATTGACTGTATTTTGTGAGACAAAAAAAATTGGAGATGGATTATTAATGATAATTAACAAAAACTATTAACAAAAGCGACCCGCGAATCGCCAAAAACAATCACATTCCTACTTACTGCTAGGTAAACAGAGGTATGTGGAGTAAGGTTTCGCCCTGCCTGTTAATCAAACCCAGGTCCTCTTGCTAATGACTATGCTACGGGACTCCATGATATCCTCCAGTTACTCACTGACCATCAGAAATACTTTATTTTCAGCCACATTTTCATACATATCTCACCTTAATTTGCTCCACCTCTTCAGACAGTTCTTGCATTTCATGTAGCAGTCGCTGGTACTTCTGCTGTGGGCTCTCCTTTACGCCACTTCCCTCTCCCAGCTAGGGGGGGAACAAAGCAATGCGAACAGACACAATTCAGAGTTTTATTATCAGAAGACAAAGGCCCTTTGAGCCTGAAAGAAGAGTTAATTGGAAACAAATTCCTAGCACAAATGCTCAATTGTGCTAAGGCTCCAGATTATGAGCAGAGAGCCGCATTTATTAAAATTCTTTGCAATGAGTCAGTATTTTTATGTCCTGAAAAGGACCAAACTTGGGCCTAACAGAGAGTGCATTTCTAACTTTTAAGCCAATACACGAGAAGATCGAGCAAATATAACTTCAGCTTCTCCTTAAGGTATTGGTCCAAAGAGTAGACTGACACTATAATTGATACAAGAGAGAACAAGCGAAAGAGTCCAAACCAGAAAGGAACCGCTAACTGTCAGTTCCTTGGTATGTTCTCCTGACATGAAAGGCACTGTACAAATGTAATTTGTTGTTGTTGCCGTTGTCTAAACTCTACTGATGACTGACGAAATAGGATCAGTGTATAGAATCATAGAATCCTGCAGCAAAGGAGGCCATTCCTTCTATGCTGCAGAAGGGCATTCAGAAGACAGAGGCGGGGTGCCAATAACACCCCATTCTCCTCGTACACCAGTAGTTTTTCCAGTGATTTGATGGAGCGGGTGCGAATGCTATTGACCTTGCTGTTAGGGACTCATGAGAGGAGCTTCAGTTGGTTTGTTCTTCCCTTTGGTAAGTGCAGCACTGAAGGCTCACAAAAGATCAGCTGATTCTCTATCAAGGAAACAGAGATACAAAACTCACACTACATGTTCTCTCTCAGATATTTAAAGAAATGCTTTAAAAAAAGAACCTAATATCTATTCCCTCTAGCCTTTCTTTTATTGCTGCAAATATTTCACTTTGCAGCAATGAACACTTTTGTACTTGAAACTCAGACTAAGCACATTTCAAGAAGCTCCAGAGACCAGTAAGTCTTTCTATGGAAATAAAAAAAACAGACATCAACACTGGCAGTGCCTGCTTATTTCATACTTACCATCTCGTAATCTCCAGTTTCATAGCCAGTTCTTCTCGATTTGCTGATCCGATCTGAAAAGTCTACAGCATAGTACACATTAATATTCAATAAGCAGCTTTTGCAGAAATGTTTCCACTAAAAACACGAGCAACGCCATGTTGTACATGCTCAGAATACAGATGGCTACAGTATACAGTACATATCTAGTATATTTACTGTATATACAAGCGCCACTATATACAAACTACCTGCTTGAAGGGCACTATATAAATACAAGCTGTGGTTATTGTATTTGTTGCTTGTATGCAAGGAGAAAGGTTCAAGTACTCAAGGGGCAGATAATTACTGGGGAAGTGCATCCAGTATAGTGCAGGAGAACTAGTCAATATTCCAAGGGAACAGTAAAACATGGAGAAGAAATATTATGTCTGTTGAATTCTTACCAATGTCTTTGGTGCTAACTCGTTTGTCTTTAAACTTGTCGTAAGAAGCATTTGGATTGACCACAATGCGCTCCACGCTCTCACTGTTCAGCTCCTCCTGCACATAAGCAAATAATTATGGTTCAGCTGACAAACAATCCCAACTCAAAGGATTACAAACAGAATGAAGAAGTAACCAAATAATGGGTTGCAAAAAATAAAATTCCCAAAGCACAACACAAATGTAGGAGTGGGATTCATTCTGTAATTCAATGCTTGCTAGCGTGCATACAATTAATATCAAGCGCATGCAAATTTTAATATATATATATGTATAGAATTGTTTTTATATTTTTTTAAAGGGTAGGCTAACAAGCATGGTAACAAAAGTTTAGCTGGTTTCATTCTTGCAAGTCACAAGACTTCAAACTACTACTGATCGAGTCACGTGTGATGATATCACTGACACTTTCCATGGGTCCACACTGCGTAATTATCCCTCTGCAACATAATGGTGCACATATAATGATTAACTATGTATATATGTATTATATATAAATATAAAATAAGGTATTCCTAACATCCTCAAAAGAATATGACTGATTTCCATGCATGTGCATGTGATAGGTTGCCAGGAGGGAGGGTTGAGGTCAGGACACTGGAATCTTTTTAAAAAAGCAGCTTGATGCTGTAACCGGAGGAGGATAGGGTAAGTGTTCAGGAAGGATGAGATCAGATGGGCTGAAGGGCGTTCTTCATCCAAACTAATCTGGTGATTTGGATCAACAATTCAAATAAAAACTCAGGACTGATCTAGAAATAAAGGCAGTTTAAAGCTTTTTTAAAAAAAAAATTGCACTGCACGTGTTTCTTGGAAGACAAATCTTAGAGCAAGCGCTCTGAGACTCCGTCCGGTGTGGAGGGCGCTATATAAATCCAAGTTGTTGTTGTATTAGTGGAATGCTTGACATTTAAAAAATATCATATTGCAAATTGTTCTCATGATTTAGTCTTCAGCCTGAAGACCTTGCCTGTTGAGCAGCTCTGTCATTTTGCTCACGGATCTTGAGAATTGGAAATCTGCCATAATACAAAACACCCATTAAAAAACCCTGTTATGTTCCCATAAATTGCTAATTTTCAACATGTTCAATCTTAAATCAAATTCAAGCTCTACACTTCAAAGTCGTTTTTAAAAAGTGTGTTCAGTGCAAATACGTGTCTGAACGTGTATCCCAGAAACAGTCATTCAGAATCATTAAAAGCAATCATCAGAGCTTCAATCAATCATTAATTAATGTCATCATTACATAAAGCGCTTCAAGCAGTTTCTTTTACATGAAAGGCGGGCACTATATAAATAGAAGTTGTTGTTCAATGGCTTTCAGACATTTTGAACATTTCTAAACCCTATTTTTTTCCTGAATTATGAGTTTTTTTTAAAAAAACTAGGACTTAACCCAAAGCTAATTTTTGGGGAACAATGTAATTGGAAAGCTGCTTGCTACAGCAACACAGATGGGACCAAGACAAATCTTTCAAGTACAGTAATTCATCTGGAATTGCACTTAGCTCCTGTAGTTATGTAACGACGACAGACCAGATTATCTCCTCAGAATCAACCTTTGATTAACACTCCACACACCATCGTGAACACGCAACTGAGCCAAATAAAAGGCAATTTCTGTTCCCCAGTTCAGAAGCTGCTGAAGAATGCATTGATGTTCAAGCCTTCATCACTCTAAATCAGTCCCTTATCCATCAGCCAACCTGTATTGTCATCTCACACTTGAGCCATTGCCCTGCAATTTAACCTGTGCACTTTCCTCCCTTCCAGAAGGGGCCCTATGTTCACTCTTGATTATCACCCCATCCTTTGATCGGCTCCTTGATCTCGCACAGAAGCTGTAGGGAGACTTTGCTGGAATCTCATTGGAAAGGTACAGAAAATTTCTTTCAAATGTTACATGACAGAAGATAACTATTATTTGACGGTCCCAAAGGTTTGAGTTAGCATAAAATTTCAAACAACACAGCGGTTGTAAATATGTAGGACTTACTCCATTTTATGACCTGCTTGACATTACATATTCCAACCCACTCTGGATGTATGTGACTCACCAAGAAAGCTAGGGCAATCTTCCTATTAATATGATAGCAAAGATCTGAAGATATTAATATTGATAGTTGTTCTTCAATATACAATGATAATTGCTCAAAAGTTACGGTTTGCGTCACAATGGTTAATTTATTAATGTGAATGTTCAGCTACACAAAAAATCTTCACCCTCTATGATGACACTCAATGGTGGAAAAAAAAATCACATTGTAGTTGGAATTAGACCCTTTCATGGAAGCCAAATGGAATTAATTTAAAGTGAATTAAATTACTTGAAAGTGACAAGACTGTAATCTTATCTTGCCATTTAGAAGATAGCTACGAACAAATCAAGCCATGCTCCTTTAAGACATTGCCTGAGCCTCTTGACAAGATTAAAAGACAGAACATTAGAAATAATATGGTACGGAATTTTTTTTTAAAATCTTCATAATAAGCCCAGAGAAACCTAAGCCGATTAATTTTGACCAGAGTACGAAGAGAGTGCAGCACACAACACATTTCCTCTGTCAATTGGACTTGATTGAATTTTACACAGATTTAGTTTCCGTAAAAAATAAATGCTCTTACCAAAAGAATCAGGTCAATAGCTTTTGGGAAATAAAACCTTAAATTAGTTGAAAAACATTAAAAAAAAACATGTGACTAGATTTCCAATCTCTGATTCTTTGATTAGAGGAAATTGGCATGGCAGACTGTCAATTTTCTACAAGTCTTCAACCCTTACAGGACAACGTGCTACAGATCTTTGCAAGAGATAAACAAATTGCGAAGATTTATCCCCCCCCCCAGTTAAGATGCATTCAATGCGAGTGAGAACAAATTTTGAATTTTGTATAATATTCACAGATTGTCAAGCTATTCTAGCCCTAAAAGGGTTAAAAGACTTGACGTTATCGCACACTGATTAGAAGAGTTCAAAGGTCAGGCTTCTTACCAGCTCCTTGCAATTCCAAAGAAGGAAGAATTAGAAGTGAAAAAGTGGGAGAGGGGAGGGGGTGGGGAGTGGGAGAGGGAAAAGAGACACAGTGAGAAATTAATAAGATGTTACACAAAGCACAACATAACATTATTAGTGCTCATACAACATACAAAGCTTCACAGAACAGTTCCCATAAGTGCATTGTTGGTTCAATTCATACCATGTCCCATTCTTAAGCATTATTAAAAAAAAACTTTCAATTCTGATCAAGGTATTCAACCATTTCACGTTGTGTTCACCCAAAACCACATATATGTTAAGAATGAATACTTTTTTCAAATAAGCCACAGAGCTTCAACTTTCCCTATGCTAACTATACATCTGGGGGTGGTGGGAGGGGGATCAAAGGGAAGAAAACATAATGTGGACTCAATAAATCTGAAAATATATTATTTTAGAATCTTTCCAGTTACACTCGTTGGAATGATTTAATAATGACATCAAAATTGTTGAATAAATAATAAATCAAACTGTAAGATTTACATGGACATAGAGTTGTTTGAACAGGATTGTATCCAGAACTCGAAGAGGACATGCAATAAAAAGCAATGGGTTGATGATATGAAGTTAGCTCAGCTCTCTGAATATCAGACGTTATTCAGGAAACTAACTGAATATTTCACGAACCAAAATGATGTGTACATTGCAATCGTTAATATGTTTTAAGGTCAACTTTTATCAGTGTGAAAAATCCAGGTCGGGGACTCGAAAGATATTTACGCGCACGTGAATTAAGGGTAAATATGTCAAGTTCAGCCAACATGCATTCATTCAAGGAAAGGAAAACAAGGGCGCGAGGACAGAAAGATACCATGAAGTGGTAGGATTTCTAATCTCAGCCCAGGCCATCATAAAGAGGTGACAAAAGGAGGTCACACACTTTCATAAGGGAGGAAAAAAGACTGCAAGATTAGCCAATCTAAAAAATTCTCAACGTACTTCAAAGCAGCTGGTGACAAGAAAGTAGTATTGGCAGAAGTCAGAGCAGGTCAACTACCTAGTCTAACAGACAGAAATAATGTATGGAGGCTGGAGGGGAATACAATAAAATGCCATACAAAGCAGGTGTTTGGGGACTTTAGAGAATGGGAGGAGAAGATTCCCATGTATAATGTTCTGCTTCACAGAGCCTCCATTTCCTCAAGCTCCTGATGTCATTACCCAAGAAAGATACCTTTCTGGGTTGAAGCACCTCATTTGTTCACCGTGACAGTCTTAACATTCACATACTGAACGTCAACCAAGTAGAAATGTTGTTACTGCATAATGTTTAGATGGGTGCTGAACATAGGTAGATGAATTTAATGTTTTAACATACAGCACATAGAATCATATAGCATAGAAGGAGGCCATTCGGCCCATCATGCCTGTGCCGGCTCTTGAAAGAGCTGTCCAAATTAATCCCACTCCCCAGCTCTCTCCCCATAGCCTTGCAAATTTGTCCTCCCCAAATATCTATCCACTTCTCTCTTGAAAGTTGTCATCGAATCTGCTTCCACCACCTTTCAGGCAGTGCACTCCAGATCCGAACAACTCACTGTGTGAAAAAAATTCTCCTCATTCCCCCTCTGGTTCTTTTGGTAACAGAATAGAGATGGCAGCATTCTCCTTTTTAAAACAATGAATCACACATCCTGAAACATTCACATGAGGTTGAGGAATATTTTAGTGTGAAAAAAAAACTGTAAAACATTCTTGAACCAGGAAAGGTAAAGACTCAAGCTAAGTCAACTGGTGTTAACTCAAACCTTCAACGCAACATGCCTTCAAATTCAGATTCTAAAGAGTTTATACCTCCAATGAGATGCTCACATACAATTTCAAAACTAATTTCTATAGTTGCTATAAAACCCCCCCCATTCGTAACTTATGTAAAAAGCATACAGCACTGTTGTAAAGCTCACCCACTTAAGACTATAGCACTTTTGGACTGTTCTTCGAGCAATCAGGGACAATACTTCTAAGGATTCAGGTCACTAGCCATCCTATTGCTTTTTCATATACTGTAATAAATATTATAATACTTGGATTTGATATAGCGCCTTATCACGTCTTCAAGATATCTCAAAGCACTTCGCAGAATATACTCTAAATATACTGTATTCCAATTGAGATTGCTGCTCATTAATTAAAGATCCATCAGTTACATGCTTTTAAGGAATCAATATTGTAAAGTACCAGGTTTTATCATTATGTTCAGAGGCAGAGGTAAGCGGTATTCTAGTTGGAAATTTAAGCTTGCTCCAAATCAATTTGATATTGAAGCTATATCAAGATACTGCTCTCTTGCAATAATATTGAATAACTGAAGCACAGTACTGGATCCTTCTGACTGATTTCACAGTGCAAGGAAAACTTTTCCATTATCTCTTATCAATGTGACTATAGCTCGATGGAGTGGGGCTGGGGGGAGGGAGTGTAAAATTAATGTGTAAGGCAGAGTTGCAGCGTACACCACGTAGGAACAGGAGTTTCTGGACAGGTAGGTCCAGAAAGTTGAGCAAGAACCATACTATTAAAAGATATTAAAAGATAACACTGAAACATATATCATATACATTATAATCTGGATGCACTTATACAACTGGACATACCCAAGACACTAGAAAAAAATACCAGGATTTCAATCAACAAAATTTATTCTGAATCAAATGTTTTCTATGACAAATACTAACTTTCCAGTTTACAGCCCAATCCCTCCAGATTTAATTTTCAGAAGTCACTTGACTTCACCCCAGAGCCCAGTCTGTTTCGCGACCCAGTTCCTGTTCCCATACCTCATTTTTCAAATAAAGCAAACAGATAATGAGGATTGATAAAGCAAAAGACAAAAACATGAAAGTTAATCCATTTATAAAATAAATGACAGTAAATTTAATGTATTATTAAAATATTAATCTTTATGACTTGGAGCTCACCTGGAGAGATTGTGCAGTACACTTTGAACTTGTTTAGCCCTCTAAGTACAGGGGTTCAACATAATCAATACAACTTGTAAGCTTTTTACCCAGATTGCTGCAAAATATGCACCATTGCAATTTTATATATTTATGTATATGGCAAATGTGTGACTTTACATTGGGTGATAATGACAAGAATGACTATAGATAAATCACCTGCAATATCTCATCCAATTCTCACGCCTCAAGAAATCAGAACTATTCACTTAAACGAATAGTAATGCTTGATTATAATTAAAGAAAACTGATAGATTTTTAAAGATAACATTAACTAAATTCATCAGAAGTAAAACTTTTTAATATGAATCATTGACAGCCAATGAGGTCAGCTGCACATTATAAATTTGGTAGTCCATGTCACAATTTAACCGTGTGAAGATTGGAATGGACATTCATCAGATCAGGCTCATGTTGTTCTTATATTCTCAATGTTGATGGCTATGAATTCCAACCCTGGTTTTGAGCACTTGCTACCAACTGTAGAGTGCATTCACCAAAATGTTCTAGTTTGGTACAGTGTGGGTAATATGCAGGATAAAGCTTCCTTTAAATTGCATCTAACCAAGTGCCTTATTCCATCTTCTACATTTCCATTTGCCACAAGTACCATTGTTGTAGCTATAGCTACTCGGTGCAAAATTATTCAGATCAGTGAAAAATTAAGCTTTGTGCTGTGGTGGACTCACAATCACAAGTAACCAGGAAGCACATTGCACCTTCCAGCCAGCAGCCAGACGAAACTGGCATCCTATCTGTCTGAGCTAGTGGAGCCCAAGCCTCAGACATTACAGGACAGGGTTGTAAACCAGTGATATCACCCAGTCGTCGTACCTCAGTTGGAATCCCAGAGCTCAGATGCACTGAAGTGATGCTAATGATTCACACTTTTGTATACGGCAATGCAGCACAGCAAAGTGAAATTGCATGCAAAATACATAACAAAAGCATGCAAAATAGAAGCATTTGAAAACTCTTACTTGCGCAAACTAGTGTCCAGGCAACGAAGTCAGAAGGGAAAGCATTTTAGGAAAATTGTGGTAAGTCCATTGCACAAAATGAAGTAAATCAGCTACATCCTGCATCTCTGAGTCGCTCTAGCGAATGGACTAAGGAGGATGCCAGTTTGATTTTTTTTAAAAGAACATCTTTAATATTGTTTCATACAATAGCCAAAATATGTTTCAACACCAGTTAACCCTGGCAATATTCTTGCCGCAGTTTAGTAGAATAGCCATTTATCAAAAGGGATAGAATGTACGAGGACATTTTAACGGTTTGAAATAGAAAACAAACAAGCAAACTCATCATGGTCACTATCCTGCACACAACTCTGGTTAAGTTCTCTACCCTTACACTCCAAAGAATGAGCTGGATGGATATCTTGCTAACTGTAAACATTGGTCACAAAGCTCAGAAAGGAAACCTGTACTAAACAGTAATCAGTTTCCCCAAATCCTTCCTCACTGTGGCCAGCAGCCCATCCTTTCTACCCTAGTAAACTTAACAGACTTGCATTTCATGCATGGAACTGCACTTAGTAATTAAAAGTAACTGAAATCTACAGGCATTTAACAATTACCTACACACAGGGAACAGTAGTGTACTTTTTAAGAAGCTGACTATAGAAGTTGACTCTGTAGAAATTGTTTTCACACAGGCAGTTAGTATGTTGGAGACCATTCTCTCTCTCTCTCTCTATTAAAAAATAGATATTAATCATGGTCTCCGGATTATGTTCTGTGTATTTGTGTGTGTGTTTTTTTTGTAAGATATACCTTTGTTTCTACCCTCTGTTGAAGCGTTCTTGTGTCATTCACACTGCCCTGCTTGCTGGACCGGATTACAACCTGTTCCCAGATTCTCATTAATGTCATTCTATAACCAGCGACTCAGAAGTGTCTAGGTTATCCTTTCCCGTGAAGGTATGTGGTAATGATGACAAAACCGATACTCTAAAACCCACCGTAGATAAATATATGGCACGGTCATTCTGTTACCATTCTGTGGGGTTGTATAACACTACATGTGAAGACCATTTTCCCTTTTGCTACGTGGGATCCTCCTGATTTCATGAGAGCAGCTCTGATGCAGAATGGCAAAAGTAGGCAGAATAACACTGCACACTGCTTACCCAAATAAATTTATATTTAATCAACTGTACATTATCTAAAATTTCCCCCATAAACTGAGAAATCTGTTGAATGCAAGCATTATTTAGAAGCAACCTATATGTTGTTACAAAAATAAAAGCAGCCTGTGGAAATAGATCCATGCATGGGATGCTTGAGGATGGGGTTGTGTTAATCCAAGTCAATGGTAGAAATGTGATTTCATGCAATACAGCAACTGAAAAATATAGTGAAGCGTTCCAATCTTATGATATAACATGGATCGTGAGAGCCAAACATTCTGTCTGTTACACTGACAGAATGTAACTTAAAAGGTTACACTGCAATGAACGTCCAAAACATTGCATAAAATAGAATTTGAAAGAGTTGGGTCAGGAGCAATGGTCCATTAGCCATAAAATATTATTCCATACATTCGATCCATGCCTTTGATATAGGGCCTCATCGTGTCATTGAGACATCTCAGATTTTTCTGTGAAGTGCAGTGACAGTATTTGTCGGTTAAAGTGGCAGCCAATTTGCACACAATATCCTATAAACAGCCATGTCCCACAAACAGCCATGAAGTGAGTGATCAATGCATTGCACCCTGAACATGCTCAAAGACACTTTAATTACTCTCCAATTTGTTCAGTTTGTGAACATTTTTTATGTCAATATTTTTTTTGGTGAGAAAATAGGTAAACTCCTGTACGCTTTAAACAGGTTTAGGATCAGGTTTAAGAAAAAACACCAAAGATGACACCAAATAACTAAGATACTTCAATGCACCAATATTTCATCTGCCTAAAATTATAGTCATTAGTTTACAAAACAAAACACACCTCATTGCCTTCTGTTCCCTAATGAAATGGGGGAAGTTTGCAGAGTGAATTTGTGGCAAACGCAAGCGGGATGAATTTGTTGTGATGACTGCATTTATCTCCATATCAAAATAGGTTTGAGACAAAGCAAAGGTTTCACCAATTGAGCATGATCTGCAGATGGATGGCACAACACAAGTCGCAATTTATGCAGGATTATTGGAGAAATTAAATCAGATTGGGAGGCATATCACATCATAATTTACAATTATACTAGAGTTAGCAGAGAGCACACCATTTCTAATAGAATGTTTATGATGTCTACACAAATGGAGTTAAAATTTCGAACAAAACTGCACAAATAATTTTAAAGAAATAAAAGCCCCATTAGATCTTACAATACCTCCTTAATCCATTCAGCTTTCCAAGAGCCTCGATGTTAGCCATAATTTCTAAGACTCAGTATAACCTTTTGCTTTCAAAGGCTTGGACCCAGTTCCTTTTGTTTTTTAAAAAACAATCTGAAAGAATCCAGCTACTTTTAAATTAGATTACAACAGTATTTCAGCCCAGAGCTTTTCTTGTTCTGACAAAGGATTAGTACTGCAATCAGCAAATCAACTCCTGCAGAAATGAGTTCTGTGAAACATTTTCAAAAATAAAGGCTGAATCAAATCCGACAGATCAGATCCCCTGATAAGGAAGGTCTGTCCGGTTTTACATCTTTAAAAAACATAATTTTTGCTTGGCATGACAATAAACAATGTCAATTTTTGTATTTGAAAGGCATCAGTTGAGATAATAGGAATATTGATTTTACAGCCTTGAAATCAAACAAAAAGGATACCGTGTCTTTAAAAGAATCAACTTCCAACACAACACAGTAAAGAGAACTCAGCAACAGAACGTAATCTGAAATAGATAGTGATAACACAGCCCATGGGTTGGATAAATCCTACAGCCATCTCCTACACCCATTAAGTTGCTAACAGAGAATTTTATTATTCAATATTTTGAAATATCCTTTTTGATTAGAATTGTGCATAAAATGGCCCCTCCATCTCTGAAAGCTTCAGTTGGGAAAGGTCACTTTACTGGAGAGGTGGGGCTGATTGGTGGAGGACACAAAATATTATGATTAGCATTTCAAGGTGGCAATAATTAATGATAGTTTTAGAAAAATCACTAACTTATCCCAATATGTTAGTCAATATGGATCGATTGGAAAAGAATTTTCCCCAAAAGAGCTTCTGGTTTCTGAGAAAGGCAAAGTGAATTAACTACCTCTGTTTCCAGCAGATGGATTTAGATACAGGTGTGGTTGGGAGTAAAGTCAGATCAAATAAAAACTGTAACGTAGTTGTGTATTTTAGTAGAAAAATACATTATTGCTCATAAACTCCACCCACTGATAACACAAGAGAACTTTCTCCTCACAGGGACAGCAGGTTTACACTCTTTGATGCACTCCGACCAAAACAACTATTTTTCAGTAGTTTCTGTTTATTTCAACACATTTATTGGAGAACAAAACTACAGAAAAAGGAAGATACAAAAGAATGTAAGCATGCATCAAAAGAATTTCTAACCAAATTTATAGTTTATAAATCAATATATTACCAGTGACAAAAGCACTGAAACACAAAACATGCGTTTGCCAAAGCACTTCCTCAATAATTGAACAGGACAATGCTAAAAGTCAGCTACACAGTCAACGACAATTGCTTTGGGCTAATATTTTAGAGGAAGCCAGTTTGGCAAACCTACTTACTAATACATTAAGAAAATGCAAACCGAAAAGTTTTTATAAAAGCTTACCGCTTCAAACTGAGCTTGATCATCCTCGGGCATATCACTGGTCTCATAGACATCGGGCTCATTGAATGCCTAAAAACAAATGCAACAAAAGGAATCAAACTCTTACTAGAAATGAAACTAACAACAAAAAATTGCATTTATATAGCGGCCTTCACACGGGGTAGTGTCCTGGAGATTTTATTATGTCGCCCTAAGTGCATGACACACAAATTAACACGTCACAGGCATCAGCAGGAATGAGAGAAGTGGCAGGACATCGGTTCATGAGCAGGGAGGGGAGGAAGCAGAGGGGGTAGAGGGAAGAGGAGGCAGCGTAGCCGGGTGGGGTTTTCGGGAGGGCAGAGGGGCACAGAGGAGATGGGCAGGGTTGGAGGGAGAGCAGAGAGGAATTGAGCGATAGAAGAGGAGAACAGAGTAAGGAAAGTTAATGGGCAAGGAATGGTTCAGAGGCTGGGAAGGGGCATGGGCATGTTTAGAGTGGCAGGTGCAAGGTTAGAGGGGCCTTGCTAGAGGGGCAGGGGCAAGGTTAGAGGGGCAGGGGCAAGAGCAGGATTAGAGGGGCAGGAATGGAGTTAGAATGGCAGTGGCAACGGTGGGATAAAAGTGTTAGGTGGCAAAGGCAGGGTTAGAGCGGCAGAGGACAAGGGTGAGGTTAGAGTGCCAGAAGGCAAGGGCAGGGTAAGAGTGGTAGAGGACAAGGGTGGGGTTAGAGCGGCAGAGGACGAGGGTGGGGTTAGAGTGCCAGAAGGCAAGGGCGGGGTTAGAGTGGCAGTGGACAAGGGCGGGGTTAGAGCGGCAGTGGACAAGGGCGGGGTGAGAGCGGCAGTGGACAAGGGCGGGGTGAGAGCGGCAGTGGACAAGGGCGGGGTGAGAGCGGCAGTGGACAAGGGCGGGGTTAGAGCGGCAGTGGACAAGGGCGGGGTTAGAGTGGCAGTGGACAAGGGCGGGGTGAGAGCGGCAGTGGACAAGGGCGGGGTGAGAGCGGCAGTGGACAAGGGCGGGGTGAGAGCGGCAGTGGACAAGGGCGGGGTGAGAGTGGCAGTGGACAAGGGCGGGGTTAGAGTGGCAGTGGACAAGCGTGGGGTTAGAGTGGCAGATGCTGAGTTAAGAGTGGTGGGGGGGAAAGGGTGGGGATAGAGTAATAAAAACAACCCTTGTATTTGACGTCGCGCCTTATCACGTCTTTGAGACGTCTCAAAAGCGCTTCACACACTATGCTATGGCAGAGTGGGGGGAGGAGGGGGGGTGGGGGTTAACAGAGCGGCAGCGGGCGGGGTTAGAGTGGCAGAGGATCGCTGCCCCCCCCGCCCCCCACCCCTCAGTCAGTCAGTCAGTCAGTCAGAGGTTTGGCAACGGGGCCCAAGTGGCTCAGGCAGCAGCGCGGTTGTCTGAGGCGCAGTGCCGGGGTGAAGGGCGGATGGCAGAGCCCGGCGGTGCGGGTAGAGGAGGAGGCGGCAGGGCCCGGCGCCCGGGGGTGCGGGTGTAGGGGGGGCGGGGCAGGGCCCCTGGTGGCCGATGCGGGGGAGAGGGAGGCGGCGGTTACTCACAATGCCCGGCAGGTTGGCGTATTTGGGGTCCGCCATTGTCGATCGGGCGCCGTCAATCCGCCGCTGGTGGTGGTGGTGATGGCGATGGCGGTGATGATGATGGCGATGTGTGTGTGTGTGTGAGGAAGAGGTGAGGAAAATATTTATAATTCTGAGGAGAAAATAATAAAAAGCGGAGGCGGTTTCCGCGCGAATCTCTCGGGGATTCGGTTATTTACCGATTTGTCAATGTTTTTTTTTTGAGGGGGAGAGAAGAAAAAGAAGGGAAGATATTAATTGGGGGGGTTTTGGTCCTCTCTCTCTCTCTCTCGCTTTATCGCCTCACCTCACGACCAACCGTCGGACGCCGCTCGAGACCGCCCTCCCGCCCGCCCGCCGCCGCTGCTCCTCCTCTCGCGAGACCGACGCCCAAGACGCCGTGGCCGCGGCGGCTGAGGCTCTCGGGAATTGTAGTCTCTCCGCCGCCGCCGACGACGCCATTTTTGCGGGGAGACGACATTTCCCACAATGCCACGCGAAGAGGGGGGGGGCCGCGACGTCGGCCCGATTGACGTGCGCGCGAGCCAATCGGCGGGGTAGAACATCGTCGCCCCGCCCGATGAGGGGGCGGGGCGGGGACAGCGGGCAGCCAATGGGGATGAGGAGAAGGCGGGACTTTTTACCCATCACTTCCAAGTGGATGAGATGATGAGAAACCTGGGTACCACAGTGCAGATGCAGAGAGAGAGAGAGGGAGAGAGGGGGGGAGAGGGGAGAGGCTGCAGAGATTGTTGACAGGGAATTTCAAGTCAATTCCAGGGGATCGATTTGTTTTTGGGGTGGTTTTCTTTCTTGGTTTGTTTTTCCCCCCTTCCCCTCCTCCTCCTCCTCCCACCATCCCCCTCCAAAAAAAAAAACAATAATAATTGTGCAGTGCAAAAAAATATTTACGTTTGCTTCCTTTTTTTTGTGGGGGGGGGGGGTGTTCAATGCATTTTTGCATTTGTTTCCTTAAAAAAAAGATTTTGAGAGAGTGAGAGAGAAAGAGAAAGAAAGAAAAGGGAGGGAGAATAGTTGAATGATTGAGAGATTTCCAACCTTCTCTCACTCCCAAAGGATTTTCTGTTTGTGGAGAAAGAGCATCTGACCAGGGAGGGGAGGGTGGGGAAAAGAAAGAAAGAAAAAAAAAGCCTCCTCCTCCCTCCTCTCTTCTGTGAGCACTGTTCTTTGGGATCATTTGCCAGAGAGAAAAAGGGGGGACAATACATTGGGAATGCAAAAACTCCAAAGGAGCATCTAAAGTGGAAAGCTATTCCATTTGCGTTGGATTTTAAAATATTTATATAGATAGATATAGATAGATAGATTATCACTGCAAGATCTTTACTCTTTCTATCTGTTCAGAATGACTGAGCCGCTCTCCCAATGTAATATTAAGGTAATGTGCAGGTTCCGGCCGCTGAATCACTCAGAAGTGGTGCGAGGAGATAAATACATCCCTAAATTTACGGGAGAAGACACTGTGGTGATTGCGGTAAGTGCTATTCCTAAATAAACTACGTGCCGACAGTCGTCTTGTGAAAGTTAATTCTGGATGGTGCTGCGTCGGATGTCTTTCGCCACATCTTTTGCATCGTGCAACATTCCCGGGGGGTGGATTTTTTTTTTAAATTAATTAATTGATTGGTTGTTTAATGAATGAGACAAACAAACAAAGGCGCAAAAAAAATGAAGTTTTATATCAAATAGATGTGTTGCCCCCGACTAATCCGTTGCATATCCTATCTCTTCGCCCCCACCTTGCAGTCCAGTCCACCACACCAGGTGGGGGGGGGGAGGGGATTTAAATCGCCTGATCAGCAATGCAGTCACGCATTGTGGATGATGTTGTTGTTGTTGTTGTTAGTGTTGGGTCGTTGTTGGGGGGGGGGGGGGGGTTTAAGGTGCCCCCCCTCGAACTTATCTTTGCGAAATCAAATCATCTCGTGGCGCAGTGCGTTCAGTTTTGCGTTGGGTTTTGCCTTCTGTTGAGATTGCAAACCACTGATGCAGAAACTAAAGGGGGGAGGAAAGGAAAAATCCTGCGCAAGGGCAGGGATGGAGGGATGGAGGGAGGGAGGGATGGATGTACGTGGCTCGTTTTATTCACTACCACGATTTAAATCACCCAATTTCACACCATTCCGACGTGAAAAGCGCTATATCAAATGCAAGGATTATTATTATAAAAATTGCCAAAGAAAACACATTTCTTTTTTTTGTTGGGGTTGTTTTGGACGTCTCGATTTTTTTTTGCCAAACGAAAACATTCTTAAAAGTTGATGTTTTTCGACCTGTTTTTCTCTCTCTCTCTCTCTCTCTCTCTCTCTGCCCCTCAATCGAATTGTTTTTCTTTTCTTTTTTTTTTTGGCCCCGATATTAAAATATCAGGAATAACGTGATGCTGTGAGGTTAATGTCTTCCAAAAAAATAACCCCCCCAAAGAAACAAAAAAAAACTGTTTTCTTATTTCTCTTTCTCTCTCTCTCTCTCTCTCTCTGATTGTGGGTTCGGCTTAACGTTAAGTAATTGTGATGGGTAGGAAATTGTGCCTGTGTTTATTTATGCTGATCGTTTGCTGAAGCAACGGGTACATTTCCAGCCCTTGTGCTAAAGAAAACAGTTGTCAATCCAGGATAAATGATGCATTTTTTCAGAGAGGATGGAGCAGCCCATTGTGGGAAGTCAGGGCGTGTTTCAGTTGCTGCTACATTGAAAGTCTGAGCATGCATTTGCCGTTTGGAGGGCAATTTAGGTGACCTGATGAGGCTCTGTATCGAATGCAAAGGGTTCTTGTTTTTCCTTAGGCTGATATCCGTTACCTCGTTGGCTCATTTTCTCGTTCGAGCGTGTTGTGCTTTTCAAGGTGATTTATTTCTTCTTTTTTTTTTCGGCTTAGGATGTTACGTGGCGCGCCTCTCTCTCCAAGGTGATGTGCGTGCACGCCCGCATCCCTGCGAATCCTCGTGTTTGTTTGTCCGTGGATTGAGTTGGTTGCGGGAGGGGGTGGGGGCTGAGATTTTCAGGGTGACATTGCTCAGACGCTCCTCCCTGCTGCTCGCCTTGATCAATCGCTGCGCCCATCAGCGATGACCTCAGCCTCAAAGCTGAGCACGCGCACTGCGCCACATCTCGGCTGTACCGCAGCTTTACCTGCAGTGCTGGGGCTGCCAGAGTAGGGTCAACATCACCGCTGCCTCACTGGTGTGATCAGGACCAATAATATAATAATAATAATAATCCTTGCATTTAATACAGCGCCTACAAGGTCAAAATGTCTCTGAGCGCTTCGCAGGTCAATGTTTGTACAATCTAGTGGTTGTGTGTTTTATAGGTAGATGCGGCAGCAAAGTTTACTCACAGCAAAGTCCCCCTCGAATGACCCTGTTGTGAATAATCACTTCACAATAAATAATGAGTTGGTTACTCTTCCACAGCTGTTTGTGGGACACTGTTGTGCGCAATTCACTTTTTACAGTTTACTTTTCCGTGAAGCGCTTTGAGACGTCTTGACGACTCGATACAGCGCTATATCAAATGCAAGAACTATTATTATTTATCTGGGGAGATTGTTGGCCAGGACACCGGGAGAAACTCCCTTCTTTCTTCGAACGGGACCTTTAACGTCTACCTGAATGGGCACAGACAGGACTTCGGTTTAAAGTCTCATCTCTAGGATGGCACCTCCGATGCAGTGCGATGTCAGCCCTAACTATGAGCTAAAATATTTCCTTTAAATTTTGCCAACAAGAAATACTTTATTCCTAGCTCAATTATATCACTTCCTTCTTCTCAGCCCAGTCTAGTGGGTCACGCTCCGGCCCTCGGGGTAAAAAGGCTTGTGTTTCAATGCTGATGCCGTCTGACACTCCAGCACAGTCCTGGCGAGAGCACAGCGTTGCCAGAGGTGCTGACTTTTGGATAAACCATTGGATTCTCAACCGAGGTTCCGTTTGTCTTATCAAGTGGACATTAGAGATCCTCCGGCACCATTATGGGGATCTGAACGGCAACGGGCTTGTCCTGATGTTTGGCTGGATGTTCTTCCTTCATCCAAAACCCATTCAAACTTGATTGTTCGCCCCAGCATTGTGTGTGGATGTCGATGGCACAGATTAGCTGCCATACAATAGTCACCACACTTGCAAGTAACTCCTTACATGTTTTGAGACGTTCATGAAATGCACGCCTTTCTCCACATTTGGAGTCCTATAGTACAGTGGTTAGAGCGCTCGCCTCGCAAGTGAGAGGACCCAGGTTCGATTTCCGGGCATGGCAAAACCTTAGCCAAGTTTCCTAACTCCACACACCTCTGTTTACTTGGTGGTAAGTGGGCACCCAGTTCTTAGTCGATTGGCAAATCGCTTTTCCAGGGATAATAATCCCTTCAACATATAATAATAATAATAATAATTTGGTCACTCAATCCACGACTGTTTGTGGGGACGCTGCTGTGCGCAATTGGCTGCTGCATTTCACCCACAAAATATACGGTCAGTTCACTTTGCAGTATATTCTGTGAAGCGCTTTGAGATGTCTCGAGACGTGATAAGGTGCTATATCAAATGCAAGGATTATTATTATTACGTGAAGTGTTTATCAAATGAACTTGTATTAATATTCACCTTTCTCCACTTTTATACACAGATTATTCTGAGAGCGTTATCTTTACATGTCACCTATAATGACAGGTTGTTATTAGCCAAACTCTCAGAATCCTCTCATTCTGGAATTATAAGGTTTAAACTCCCAAATCTCCAGGTCGGAGCCACTTTCTCCTCTTTCAAAATAATCTTTACTTCCACCTGAGCAGGCCAGACAGGACCTCAGTTCAACGTCTAGCCCGGAAGACAGCGACTCTGACAATGTGACATAGGGTAGTGGTTAGACCACTCGCCTCGTAAGCGAGAAGACTCGGATTCGATCCCTGGGTGGGGCGAAACCTTAGGCAAGTTCCCTTACTCCACGCGCTTCTCTTTACCTAGCAGTAAGTGGGAACCTGGTTGTTAGTCGATTGGTAGATCGCTTTCCGTGAATAATTATCCCTTAAAAAAATTAAATTTGGTCACTCAATCCACGACTGTTTGTGGGGACGCTGCTGTGCACAATTGGCTGTCGTGTTTCCCTCACAAAATACACAGTCAATTCACTTTACAGTATATCCTGTGAAGCGCTTTGAGACGTCTCAAAGACGTGATCAGGCGCTATATCAAATGCAAGGATTATTATTATTATAATGCAGTGCTTCTCTAGTAATGCGATGGAGGGTCAGCTTGGAGTGTGAGCTCAGCCCCTGTGCTGGGGATTGAACCCACAACCTTCTGACCCAGAGGCGAGAGCGCAGGCTGCCCCACGAGCTGTGCGATATTGGCTGCTCGTTCAACTATTCGAACCTTGTTTCCGGCACAGACACGATGGGCCGAATGGCCTCCTTCTGTGCTGTATGATTCTCTGATTTGGTTCATCTCTCTGAACCATTGAGCTGATGTCCCTCTGGGGTGTGAAGAGCCACAAACCAGACGCAATCAAATGATGTGATCTTCCAGCTCGCATGACCAAGCCAGCAACATAAGAGATCCTTCCCTCCAGGGAGAGTCATCCATCTCCGAGAGGAGGCAGGCAGTTTGTCATTGTTCGCTCCTTGTTCATGGGCAGACTCTTCACTTGCCTCTAGGTCAGGAGATTGGTGGTTCGAGGCTCTCGCCAGAATCTGTGCCGACGCTCTGCAGGCTGATGCTCCATAATAATAATAATCCTTGCATTTGTTGTAGTGCCTTATGACCTGCTGAATGCTCCCAGTGACCTCTGTTTTTATTACTGTAAAGTGCATTGATAATAATAATTAATATAATAATGTAAATAATCCGTGCATTTGATATAGGACTTATCACGTCTTCGAGACGTCTCAAAGCACTTCGTGGGACACACTGTAAAGTGAATTGACTGTATATTTGTGGGCAAAATGCGGCAGCCAATTGCACACAGCAGTGTCCCACAAACAGTCGTGGATTGAAGTGACCAATTTTATTTATTTTGTTTTCCTTGAGGGATTATTATTAGGCGTGCGGAGTAAGGAAACTTGCCCAAGGTTTCGCCCTGCCGGGAATCCGAACCCAGGTCTCTCGCTTGCCAGGCGAGTGCTCTAACCACTGAGCTACAGGACTCCTGTAGTAGTCTAGTACGGTATTGAGGGAGTGCTGCATTGTTGGAGGTGCTGTAATGAAGGAGGATACATTAAACTGAGACCCCTAATGAGATGCTGAGATGCTATTTGGAAGAGTAGGGCATTTATCCCAGTCTTCTGGTTGATGCCTCTCACCCCAAAATTCCTTGAAATGTCACACTAATAACTCAACCCAGTCCTCCGCTCGGCTGGCTCGGGCCTCCTGTCCGTCCCTCGTCCCCTCTTCTCCACCATTGGTGGCCGTGCCTTCAGCCACCACGCCCCGAAACTCTGGAACTCTCTCCCTCAATCCCTCACTCCCCTCAAGCACT